AGGAAGAGCTCTCGGACTGGTTCAGTTTCAAAATTCAAAGTCGAGCCACAGCTGGACGTGACTCAGGTCTCCAGGGAAGCCGTTCCAGGAAACTGGTCTGTCTCTCTTCTGGAACCTTCATCAGTTGATTCAGCAGCTCAGGGCCAAGGCAAGCTCAGCTGAGCCCGTGAGGCGGGGCTGGGCTCTCTGTGCCTGGTGGGGGTGGGCAGCAGGAACCCCGTCAGCGGCTGGAGCCCAGGGCAGCGGACGGAGATTGTGGCCTCAGGACCCCACCCGTGAGACCCTCCGGCCGTTCTCTGTGTCTCCCACGCCAGCCAGCGAGGCTGCGAGAGACGCGAGGACCCCGCCGGTGGAGACCGGCGTGGAACCTGGGTCCAGGGTCTCTCTCAGGCCGTAGCCGAGGACATTTTACCAGATGCCTCGACGTAATTACTGTAAAGGCTCTATTTTAAATAAGTTTGTCTTCTAGACTTGATCATGCGTCAGGCCAGAAAACAAACCAGCGTGTTTAATTTCCTTAAAATACAAGAGCAGTTTAGCCACGCTGAGTGATTGTACCATGGAACCTCATGGGTTGGGGGAGGCAGGCCCCCCCAGATCTGGGGCCAGGAAAGGAAGTGAGGGGGACAGACACCGAGCCCCACTCCGGAGCCACTGGCACCCTGTGTCACGGGGCTGGAGTGGAACAGGGTGTGCGCGTTCCCTTGTGGCCTCAGTGAAGACCGGAACTAGTTCTAAGCTTTGCCCTTTGCGGTGTGAATGTAGAAAGCCTTGTCCAGGTGCCTCGCACGTCCGAGGGTAAAGTGTTTTTCACATTTGCACTGGGGTGTCCAGCTTTTCCAGCTTCTGCAGATATGGAACTTTCTGCCTGAAGGTCATTGTCTTGGACCCGGGGACAACGTGTTTGAATGGATTCCCGAGCATGTGGGCAGCTGCTGCGGAGGTTCTCGGAGTGGCCCTTGTGCGGGGAGCAAGCCAACCCCATGGGCCCGGCACATCCTCCCTGGGACCTCGTTCACCCAGGAGGCTGCTTTCAAGGGGACATCACTGCCTCTGTGCGGCTCTCTTCCAGTCCTGAGCTGCCGAACAGGAATTGTTTCACTCGATTTTATGAGGAAGAGCTGAGGACTCGGCTCAGCCCCTCCGGGTCCGGCCAGGACCCCAGGGAGTGGCAGCGAGGCTGAGCCAGCGCCCACAGGGCTGGAAGAGTTAAAAGCCTGCTGTCACGGAACCTCGTTCAGAGCCTGGTTCAAGTACGTCACTGTTTACAGACACGGGCTTGTGGCTGGTGCTTCGTGTCCGGTGAATTTTCCTGGAACGGAAGTGCCAGCTTCTCGAGTGTTCTTTGAAGGGCTTTCCTCGGGGCTACCCCCGGTCACTTGCTTTCGAGGGTCCTCCGGAGCTCCTTCAAGTGGCAGTAACATATTAAACTCCGCTCTCCTCCTAATGGGTGGACCCAGTACACCCCCTCTTAGCTTCCTTTCTGGGGTTCGGGCATAAGGGGAAGAAGAGGCAGGAAAAGACCGAGCAAACTCAGGACACCTCGGGTTTCCTGAAACGTGACTTTTTATGTCACAGCAGATGGCAAATCTCGGCCTCGTGGCCTCCAACTGTTTGTAGCTCTGGCGGCAGCAGGGCTGGGGAGGAGTTAACGACAGTCCCAGCCCTTGGGGGGGGGGGGGGGGTGGGAGGACTGGCCTGACTCTTGAAGGCGGTGCTTGGAGAAGACCAAAGAAATGACTTCAAAATGGGAGCTCTGGATGTACTTAAGCCTTTGTTTCCAAATTATTTCCTTGTGTGCATGTGTGTGTGTCTTTCTTAAAAAAGATTTCCAGACGTGGAAAATGAAACAGCGTTTGAGCAGACTTCATGAAAACTGAACCCGCGGCACCGCAAAATAGCTTGGGAGAGTCTTTGGAATACGGCGGAATACCAGGTCGGATTGAATGGCCGGGTTCAGCGAGCTTCATAAAAGAGGGGTCTTTTTAAGTTTTAAGGCGTTTCAAATCCCTCCAAGAAGGAGACAGATTAACAAAAAGAGGAATTACTGATGCTAAATAGGGAGAACACGGATGCGTTTTGTTCTATTATTAAACTCCATTGCCTTTAGGGCAGAGTCTGCGGCACAAAGCGGCCCTTCACCCCACCCCACCCCACCCCACCCCACCCAAGGGTCTCAAGCAGCCAATTCTTTATCGTATTTGAAAGAACTGCAGTGAACAGACAGATTCGGTGGACACGGAATCTGTGGTTTGTCACCATCAAAGGCGTCTATTTTATCCCCGCGAGTCGTGGGGAGTGTCCTTGTGCCAGGCCAACCCGGCCACAGCCTCTCAGGGTTTCTGGGGCCCTCTGTGGGCGGTGGAAACGCAGACCTTTGTTATGGCCCTGGTCAGGGTTCTGGTTCTGGGTCACCTGTGTGGCGGTGGGCACAGACAGCGGACTTATTTTGGAATGCTCCTTCAAGCCCTGCGTCTGGTGTGTGGAGGGCATATTTAATTTAAGCCAGTTGGGCTGGACCCCCCAGAGGCCCTGCACTGGAACCGTCACTGAAGGTGGTGGTTAAACTTCAGCAGGGAGCTCGGCTCACGTGCGGATCCGGAAACCAAAGTTTCACTTAGCTTTGTCGGGAGCGGTCGGATCCTCTGCAATCTGTGGGCTCCAAAGTAAAAAGTGTTCTTGACCAGCGCTGGCCAGTGTGGCTCCATTGGTTGGAGTGTCGTCCCACAGCCGAAAGTTTGCGGGTTTGATATCCAGTTAGGGCACAGGCCGAGGTTGAGGGTTCGATCCCCGGTCCAAGCACAATCCTTGGTCTGGATGCATACAGGAGGCAACTGATTGATCTTTCTCTCTCCCCTCTGCTCTTAGAAGCAGTGAAAAAAAAAGTCCTCAGGTGATGATCAAAAAATAAAAACATTCTGATAATATTTGGAAAGGACAAGCTCTATTTCCAGAAAGAGTCCAGTAAACTTTAGATCGCGTGGCCAGTTTTCCCATTTTTTAGTAAGATGCTTATTGCAAATAAAAGCTCCAGTGTTTAGTTTTAATTGAAAGAAGGAATAAGCACCCACGTCCCACACGCTTCCACTTGGCCCTGGAGTGCGTGTCCTCAGTTACTGGGGTGTAAACGCACGTGGCACTCATTGGGCTTGCTTTACTTTATTTACAAAAAAAAGAGAAGCTATAAACACACCCTCAGGAGTAGGGAGGTCACACAGAGTGTGGCCAAGGAAGGTGCGAGGGGACGGGAAGGTGGAGACCCTCCTCCTCGTTTCGCTAGAACATGTCATGGAATGAGGGTTCCCTGGAACACACTTTGAGAAATGCTGGCAGAACCAACTTTGGAAGAAAAGGGCAGTTAGAATTCACTTCCTACCCATCCCAGGTCGGGAGTTTAACAGCAGCCTGCTGGCGAGAGGGGCGCTGTCAGCTCGGTCTCACGTTTGGGATGAGGGGGCGGGGCCAGCTAAGGGGCCTGCGGAAGACAGGGTGTGCCGGACCCCCAATCCAGGTTCACCAGTTTCCCTCCTCCCCCTGGCTCCTTATTTGTTCCTAAAAAGCTCCAAATTCAGGCTATCGAATTTGATCGACAGGGGGAGGAGTATAAAAGTTGTCCCCGAGTATAAAAAATATTTTTCTCCCTGTCCTTTTACTGTCAGAGTGGGGGGCCCAGGGGAGAGCAAGTCGCCCCCAAACAGCTGTGCACTGGGCTGGTTGCTCTCCGAGCCCCCAGTTTCTTCTCCGTAAGCCTGGGGGTTAGCGTGCGCCTAGAAAGACGGAGTGAGGGCCCACGAGACGAATGACGAGAAGCCCTACACGGCACATAGCAGGTGCTGGGGAGCCTTGGGTACTGCGATGTCAGAAAGAGCGGTTCGATAACAGCAGGGGCTGAGACCAGTGTCCCTCCTCTCTCATGTGGCGTCATGCCCCTGACCGGGGGTCCCGGGGGCAGGCTGGGGGCACGTGAGAGGAGCCACGGGATACCAAGGCCAGCTCCGTCACGTGTGGGCTCAGTGCCAAGTGAAAGCGGAGGGCTCTTGTTCTGAAGTTACGCAGAATTTCAAGACAGCATTACACCAAACCTGGGGCCCTTGGAGCATGGGGTCTTATGGGATGTCCCAGGAAAAAGCTGGCAGGAACCAGACGAGGGGAGGAGGAGAGAGGCGCTGTCTCCGCAAGGGGACATGAGCCTGGACGGAGAAGGCCCGGGCCAGCTCCCTGTGGGGTCCGGTGGACGAGCCTGGCTCTCGGACTGGCCTCTCCGGGTTGGGGCCTCAAGGGTGAAGGGGGACAGGACAGTTTGGTGCCGTGGGGGCTGCTTTCTGGTTATGGGTGGGGCAAGGGTATGTTGCAGGGACACAAGCCAGTGAACCCCTCTGAACCGGAGTGTGGCAAGAAGTCACAGCCAGCAGCTGGTGGTCATGGGGACTGTGCAGCAAGGGGCCAGCCCTCGGGTCTGGTTCTCAGTCTGCTCACTCAGAAGCCCTGGGTGTGATCCGCTCTGAGCCTGGAGGCTGGCGCGCAGCAAGTTTTTGCTGCGGGGAAAGTGCTAGATGTTAATGGAGCAGAAAGGGAAGGTCCGAAATGGCCCCAGCGCTGGGGCTGCACCGGTGCACGCCCACACCGTGATCTGGGCGGAGCCCGCTCCCTCCTGGGCCCTGAGCTCCCTGGTGGGCTTCCTCTGAACAGGATCACAAAGCCGAGCCAGGTGTTTTAATCCCGCCACTTCCGTGCCTGCATGTGCCGTCCCTCCGGACTCTTCTCCTCGCTGCCGGTAGCTTAGTGACACCCTCTTGCTGCCTGCGCCAGTGTGAGACTCAGACAGGGGTCGTCCCACAGTTGGGAGCTATGGCCACAGTACCACGGCCACTGGATTCAAAGAGTCTCATTTATATGCTCAGTCAAAAGCATTTGTCGTAAAAGGGGCAACTTCTTCACTCCCTGGACCAAGCGTCTCAGAGCCAATAATGGGTCATTCTCCGCCCTGTTTTCTCTTGCAGGTCCGCACGTGGGGCTCAGACAAACTCAAAATGAGGAAGCACCGGCACTTGCCCTTGGCGGCTGCCTTCTGCCTTTTGCTTTCAGGCTTTTCGCTGACCCGAGGTCAGCAACAAGCAGGTGAGGCCCAGAAACATCCCCTAATGCTTTAGAACAGGAACCGTGTCCTCCACTTCCAGACCGGAGGTGGTGCTTACAGATGCTTTTGCGAAAGAGCTGAGCTGATCTTTCCAGAACATCACCTAGTTTTCAAACCTCGTCAGCCACTCGTCCCCCACCGAGGGGCGCCTGGCTTCTACTAGAACTTGAGTCTGACACCTTGGAGTTGGTTTGCAAGTGGTTGGTTGGCTTTTGTGCTGGGTTGCAGATGGGATGTTTGCATCTCATGTATTTAATCAGCTGAACCGCTTTCCTGCTCGCTGAAAACCGGGAGAGGACGTTATTTTCCTTGGAAACAAAACACAATTCTGGACCTAGAAACATTTGTCATTTAGCATCGTCAGATCTTTCAGAAATCAGTTTCCCCAAACTATTTAAAAAACCCGATCCTCATCAACCCCATTAAGAATTCGCTTGCAGAGCTTTAGGAAACCAAGAAACGCTTCGTGCCCTGCGAGCTTGAAGGGTGACTAGGGCCCCTGTCCTCGGCCGAGAGAGCGGGGCCCCTGGCGGGGACGCTCCCACCCAGCACTGTAGTTGTTAGATGGCCGGCGGTGAGTGCCAGCTCAGGGGACGGGGACTGCCGGTTGGGCACGGGGTCAGCCCGAGGTAAGGAGAGTCCGGGAGCCAGTGGTGGCTGGCCAGCCGGCCACCGCTGCAGAAGGGCCTCCCCAACAGCCCGAGCCTGCGTCCTCCACTGCTGAGCGCCCACCGGGTCCATCTTTGCAACAGACGAATTATGCCCGACACCTGGGAAGGCTTTTCTGACGCCCCAAATGTGTAGCAAGTTGTCAGGGCGCCTTTCTTCATGCCCACGAGTCTGAGAACAGTGAGACTTTGCCTGTGTGCAGTGACACGAATCGTCCTCACTGAAGGAAGGCTTAGTCATTACATTTATTTTTCTTGAACCCGCCCAAAGCTTTGGAGGTGAGTTCAGGTCAAACAGCAGCTCCTTTCATCTTTCCTTCTCGTCAGGGCCCAGCTTCCCACCCCAAACCCCAGGGCGCATTTGTAAATGGTGCCGGGTCACCGCGATACGCTCTCTTTCTGGCCTGGTCCAGAGGGCTTTGGGTTTCGAAGTGCCACAGAGGTCACGCTTGAGTTCAAAGACCCCCAGGGGATGTTTTTCCCCATTCTGGAGCCCGGCCCCTCGTGGTGTGCAGTCACGTGGGTTGCAGATGGGTCTCGGGCCGCGCACTGGGCCCCGGCAGCTTGCAGTCCCAGCGCCCCAGCCCCGCTCCTCAGGTAAGTCGGCCTGCCCGTCTGTGCTGCCGGTGAGGCGCGAGTCACTCAGAGACAGCAGGGAGGACATGGAATGAGTTTAGGGACGCTTCGCACTGCTAGGGAGTGACTGCTTGAATAGGAGAAAAACCTAAACCCATGTCTTCTTTTAAAGATGTCAAAAATGGTGCCGCTGCCGATATAATATTTCTAGTGGATTCCTCTTGGAGCATTGGAAAGGACCATTTCCAGCTCATCCGAGAGTTTCTGTACGATGTTATAAAGTCTTTAGCTGTGGGACAGAATGATTTCCGTTTTGCTCTGGTCCAGTTCAACGGCAACCCGCGCACCGAGTTCCTGTTAAACACGTACCACTCCAAACAAGAGGTCTTGTCCCACATTTCCAACATGTCTTACACTGGGGGCAGCAATCAGACCGGAAAAGGATTAGCGTACGTAATGCAGAGCCACCTCACTGAGGCCGCCGGCAGCCGGGCCGGGCACGGAGTCCCACAGGTTATCGTAGTGCTCACCGACGGACGCTCGGACGACCGCCTCGCTCTGCCCTCCGCCGGACTTAAGTCTGCTGACGTCTTTGCGATCGGAGGCAGGGATGCGGATGAAGGAGCCTTGAGGGAGATAGCGAGCGAACCGTTCCAAATGCATGTTTTCCGCCTAGAGAATGTCACCTCCCTTCATGACATAGTAGGCCGCTTAGTGTCCTCTGTGCACTCATCCTTGGCTCGACAAAGGCCTGGAGACACAGAGACCCTTAAAGACGTCACAGGTAACGGCCTCGCCGTCACGCTGCTGCTGCCTGCCTTGCGGTCCTTTGCAGACGAGCTCGGCTCCCGCTGGCTTTACAGCCTCACCCTGGCTGACCCGCGGTGGGTGGATCAGGGAAGAGATGGCCATTCACAGGTTTAAAAACAAAGGTTTTTCTTCTCTGCAGTCTCCTTCTGAGAGAGAGAGGGCATTCACCCACATCCAAGAAGGTGTTTTTTGGAAAACATTAAATTTTAACTCGAAAAACCCCACATCCCACTGCAGGTGCTTGCGGAGTCCTTAGGAGGGAAAGCCCCAGTGTGACTGTTTGCGGTCACAAACCGTTCCCGAGAGCACATGTGGCATTGGAGGGCACGTGGACAGGTGGGGGCCGGGGGAAGGTGCCCGCTCCGTGTCCGGTGGAGAAGCCGGAGAGCACCTCTCTCCGGCACAACGCAGTTCATTTCGGAGGCTTGAGGGAGTTAGGACAGTAGGGAACCTTAGATGTGATGCAGCCCAGGCCCGAGAAAGGGATGGGGTTCTAGAAGGTAAGTGACTCGCAGTTAGTGAGGGTCGGAGCTGGAGGTTCTGAGTCCGGTCTTGTCCTGTGTCTCTGGTGCAACTGTGGCTGTGCCCACAGAGGCTCTCCTGCCCTGACCGGCCCGCCAGCACGGTTCCAGCCGCTCTGAGAAAGCCTGACATGGCCCTGCCCGGTGCCGCAGGGACGCAGGCGGACCAGCCTGCGGCTGTGCCGTTTTGCCAGCCAGACCTGGGAGCGCCCTCCCCAGCGCTGAGTGTGGAAGACTGACAGGCAGGAGCGTGGTGAGGCTCGGGTCAGATCTACCGCACACCGCGGTTCTGAGCAGTGCCCGCACGGGGCTCCCTTCTCAGTGGGGGGCAGGGCGGAGGGCCCCCTTTGTCTGACAACTAGCCCAGGGAGCCAACTGCCAATGCGGGACAGGGGGTTTTAGGAGCCTGGGCAGGGAGCGAAGGCAGAGTCGAAGCCTCAGGGAGAGAGGGGCCATGTCTCCCCAGAAGGGGGCAGGGAGGAGGAGGGAGCAGGGGGACTGGGGGTCAGGGGAAAGGAACCAGTGTCTCCCGCAGGCAGAGCCAGCACAGCCCCGGTGTTTCATTAGGTCGTTCATAACACGGTTTCCCAAAGGCTGCTGTGACTTTAAATTCGGTGAGGTGAGAGGGCCACGCGCTCCTTCTAGCGGAGAAGGCCGAGGGGCAGGCCGGGTTGCCTCCTTCAGCTGGCGGGCTTCACCTCTGTGTGTGTCGGTCCTGCCGGGTCGCAGGAAAAGAACGCGGGACCCTCCAGAGTGCCCCAGACCACACACTCCAGGTGACGGGGCAGTGCCAAGAGGTCGCCTGCACTTGGCTTCTCCACGTGCTGCCGTCTCCTCGGCATCAATAACTCACTGCTCATCGCTGTTCCGACTGGAGGGACAATGACTAACCCATGTCAAAAACAGTGCGGGGGTCAGCAGCAAATGGGACGGCTTTTATTTACTGATGTTCTGGCCAGGTCAGGAAAAAGGGTGCATGAATTTGCCTCTGTGTTTCATCCTGATGTAAACAATCAGCTGATTCGATTATGAAGGCTACAGGAGCCTACCAGCCCAGGTTTCCTCACCACTGGCAAAACCTTTGTTTTTATGCTGCGAGGACATCTCTGTCTTCTAGTGCCCAAGTCACTAGCAGCACCGGGGTGGACTATTAATCCATTTGTGTTGTCCTTTCTAATTAACTTCACTCAGCGATTTTTCTAGAGTCACGTCCCACTGCATGTTCTACAGGAAAAAAAAATTCTCTGCTTACAGTTTTGGGGAAAGGTAGTCATGAGAGAGAGTAATCCTACTGAGCTGGGGCCATTTCTCCCCATCACCTGCCCACCATGTAGCTTTCCCCCAAGAGTATATATATACGTTTATATTTATGTAAATAAATATGTATATATATAAAATGTTAGTGATTGCCACTGTTCTAAATGAACTCTTCTCAATCAGCCTCTGACAGTTGTGTTCGAAAAAATGTTTTATAAGTGAATATAGGACAGAAAAACTTCAAACTAAAGCAAAAGTCGGTTTCAGTGTGAGCTTGCTTTTTGGTGCAGATCATAAGGATCCACAGAACTCAGGCAGCCTACCGACCACTTTGTGCTTGGGTAGGACCTGCAAGTGTGATCTTTCAAATTTGCCTTAAAAAAGGAAGCACCCTGTGAGCTAAGGAAGGCCTGGTGCCCACCCCGAGTCTTCAGGAAACTAGCGTTTCCAGCAGTGTTGAAGGGTCCTATGGTTTTTCCATGGACCTTGCTCAGTTTTTCCATAGAAAATGCCACCAAGGGTATAAGGCATGAGCCTTGAAGGCAAAAACCAAAGAGGCCCCCGGTTTTCGTTCTAAGTGGATCTGATTGCCCTCCGAGTATCCCTAGATCACCGAGGGGCCCTGCCAGATGCAGGACCCCTGCCTCTCGTGCCCCTGAGGGTCCTGGGTAACACAGCATAACCGTGTGTGTCTATCATGTGCACATCAGGGGACCATGCTGTTCATTCAGTGATGACAAATTATCCAACAGTTTTCTATGACCCGCAGCTGTTTGGCCTTTGAGAAGAGACAGGTTCAAGGGGTTTCCCGCAGGGTCCATGTAGCTTATTCATACTACTGTCAGTTGCAATTAAAAATAAGAAATAAATTAATAAGATAGGGTGTCAGCCTGCGATATTTTCTGTGATTTACCCTGGGATCATCGTTAATTCTTCTTTTCAATGTTTTGCTGTGCGAAGCGTGTGGCCGGCAAACCTCCCTTGGCCCCTTGGGGGTCATCGGCTCAGGCCTGAGAAGCTTTGAGGAATTCTGCGGTGTGATTGGCAGAACCTCTAGTCATGTGATAACACGAGCCGTTTCATTGGCCAGCTATGTAGCCACACTGCTGGTACCGCCCTCCCGCAGACCCTTCAGGAATCCCATTGGCTAAAGAGTGGCCATTACTTCGGACTTCTTAGCAAAGACCCAGTCTCATTTAATTCTTTCATGTGACGACAATTGTTAATAACACAAGGAAAATCATGCCCGTTAGACCTTATGTTTCCAAGGTAGTATCTCTCCCTATGCGAGGAATTCGTTGGCGAAGACATGGGCAGGGGCCTGTGTATTTGAGGAGGAAAAGAGAGGGGGCGGAGCTCCTGCGACCGTGGCTCGGCTCACGGCTCCTGCGGTGCGAGAGCTTGGGCGAGAGCGCGATTGCGCAGCGGCGAAGCTTTTCCATGTCTGGGGACTAGATTTGCATCCTATTTCTGCAGTGAGAGTAGAAGCAATTTTGTTGGCGCAAAGAAAAATAGTTTTAAATATAAAACGTTCACTGCCATGAAAAAGATCAGAGTGAATGGTCTTATATTGTCATTATACCCAAAATACAGTGTCCTGAGATCTCAGAATGTCACACGAAATCTGTTTCCGCTCTGCCATGCGCGGAAGTGACTAACCAACGCCAGGGTAGTTTTCCTTTCTCTGCAGTTTAAATCAGTCTGATTGGAATGTTCCAGCTGAGCCTTTAAAATATTCTTCTCGGGTTTGTAGATTTATATATTGATTACTCAGAAATCCCAATTCCTAGTATTAGAACGAAAGTTTCACAATGGCCCTCATGGGGAGGACAGAAGAGCCTTGGCCAGCCACCCGTTTTTCAGTCCATCTGTGTACCCCGGAGCTAGCTCTGGTTAGGGGTCCATCATCAGGTGCGCACAGACCCAGGGGACAAGCAACTTAGGGTGTCATAGAAACAAAGTTGGATAATGATGTCATGACTGGTTCTATATCACCCTGCTTGACGTTGCTCTGCATTGCGTGACTGGATAAGAGGCAACAGCCTAGTCCCAGACCCGCACTGGTGTTTCACACAACTGGGCACCGTACGAAACAAAAAAAAATCAAGCCCAAGTTTTAGCACAGTGTTTTTAAAATGAAAACTTTCAGTGCCATTTGAGTTCTTCCTTTCAAACAAGCTAAGTTATATGTATGCAGTCCAACTGGTCTCTAGAGAAAACAGAGAAGGTACAGGTCGCTCAGGGGTCAAGCGTTTAACGTACTGAGGTGATGAGCCACCGACCCTTGAATCTGATGTTCTCTTTTGTAGCCATGGGTTTGCACTAAGGAAATGCTTACAATCACTTGAGGATAATTCAAGAAATGTCCGTCTCATCTTTGGGCCTGTGCTAACGTCCTTCTTTGTTTTCTTCCGTAGCTACGGTAACGCACAATCCCATGAAACTTCATTGCCCTCCAAACCGAGTAGAAATTTCTAGAACATGCACCCTTGTTTTTCTCCCCCCAGAAAAGCGAATATGGGCCTTACAAAGATGGCAAAAGTGAAAAATGTGATAGAAATTTCTCTGTCTTACACTATCATTTCTAAGAAGTTGCCTCTTATCCATTCAGAATGCAGAACAAAAGGAGAAGTTCACGTTCCTTAATCAACGTGTGTTTCGTTTGTCCATATTTCGTGTTTCTTATTGGTTTCCAAAGAAACATGTCAGAACACTGAACGATGCATGTGGTCACCTGTTCTAACGCTTTCACGTTTTTTGCATTTCTTTCTTTTAAAGCACAAGACTCTGCTGACATTATTTTCCTTATTGATGGATCAGACAACACCGGAAGTGCCAATTTCACAGTCATTCGGGACTTCCTTGTAAACCTCCTTGAGAGACTGTCAGTTGGAACCCAGCAGATCCGAGTGGGGGTGGTCCAGTATAGCGATGAGCCCAGAACCATGTTCTCCTTGGACACCTACCCCACCAAGGCTCAGGTTCTGGATGCTGTCAAAGCCCTGGGGTTCATTGGCGGGGAGCTGGCCAATGTCGGCTTTGCCCTGGATTTCGTGGTGGAGAATCACTTCACCCGGGCAGGGGGCAGCCGAGTGGAAGAAGGGGTTCCCCAGGTGCTGGTCCTCATAAGTGCCGGCCCTTCTAGTGACGAGATCCGAGACGGGGTTGTGGCACTGAAGCAGGCTAGCGTGTTCTGTTTTGCCCTCGGAGCCGAGGCCGCCCCCAGGGCGGAGTTTCAGTACATAGCTACCAATGACAACCTGGTATTTACTGTCCCGGAATTCAGTAGCTTTGGGGACCTGCAGGAGCAATTACTGTCGTACATTGTTGGCGTGGCCCAAAGGCTCATTGTCTTGCAACCGCCAACCGTTGTCACACAAGGTACGTATACCCTTCTCGCCATTGAGGGGGAGTGGGGTGTTGGGCGGGTGGGGTTTGTGGAAGGAAGGAGGGCACCTCCCTGAATGACCCGTCCCAGGAGCAGCTGTAAGTACCGCAGCCGAGTCCTCGAGGGGCGCTATGGGAGCTAGCTCTTGGGCATGGCGTCTCGGACAGCGTGGTCCCTAAAACATGAAGGGTCTGGGAGTGTGAGTGGGGGGCTCCTGTCAGATGGCGTGTGGTCCAGGAAGCTCGCTCTGTTCGGTGGACCCGGCCCTGCAAGATGTCAAATGCCAGAGCAGCATCTCCCGATGACCTGGGTGTCGGGGGCCCATTGCCATCCTGAGAAAGCCACTCCAGGACAATGGTACCGACCCCTGAAGGTCAGCCTGAGGGAAGTGTGCTCACAGATATGCGAGGCTGTCTCCCCAAAGTCCTTTGTGGCTGGGAATCCAGAGGTGTGCTTCTGAAGGTAGGACATAAGGAAGCACTCGCTCGGTGCAGTATTTCGGAGAACCCTTCCCCTGTGCCTGTCAAGTTCAGGGGCAGCTCTTTTGAGTGGAGCGATTGTGATGTAGAGTCACATGAGGGTCTTTGGCGAAAAGCCCAATTGGAGTCATTTAAAAAAAATAGACAACTCATCAATGCCCTAAATCTTTGTGTAAGAGCTGCGGGAGGTGGGAAGTGAATGTCAACATTCAGGAAGCAGCAGTGCTGGGGGCTGTGGCGGCTACAGGAAGGACGGCGGACAGGGGTGTCGCACGGACTGGGGACCCCTCTGTCCCTGCGGGTGGATGTGCCACTGCACCCTGAAGCTCCTCTCAGTACTTCCAGACCTGCCTCTGGTCGGCCTGCACCCCACTAAGGTCTCCTTGGGCTGGCCCGCTTTTGGAAACTTCCTCAGTTTCCACAGGACCTGTGAATGCCGACCAAGGGCCAGTCTTTGGGCCCGGATCCTACGTTGACCCTCTGCGTGATGCTGGGCTGGCCACATGGCCTCTCGTGCTCCAGGGTCCTGAATTTGTGACGAAGGAGCCTCACCAGGGACGATGTGCTTCCGCTCCGGGAGGCGTTTCCGATTCTTTTTCACGTGGCACGTGGCTCTCGTTTCGGTTCCCCAGCTCACTGGGGAACGAAAGTGCCAACTCCTCGTTGGAAACATCCCCTCTAATCTATGCAATTAGCTCGTCAGTGCCCCGCAGATGTGCCTGGCTGTGTGGTAGGAGCCGGACGATAAGCTGAGCCTGGGAGACGCGGGGCTGGTGGACAACCCCGACGTGGCGGCTGGCCTCAGAGTACAGTGGGGAGGTAGACAGTGGACGCAGGACGACAACTCAGCTGAATGTCCCCGGAGTGTGGCAGGTTTGAGGAGGACACCACAGGGGGTCGTCAGGGGAAGAGTGGGCCCGACTCTTTAGACCGGACAGTCAGGGAAGGCGGGCCTCGAGGGCCGCAGGAAGAAACGAGGCAGAGTGGGGGGAGGGAAGTCACGGGTGTGTCCACCGTGGGGCTTGGAGAGGAGGCCGGCCACCCTGCCAGCCTGCACATGGGGCCTGCGTTCACTGTGCATGAGGCCCCGAGAGGCATGGACAGCTTTCTGTGGGCCCACGAGTTTGAGAGGCACCTGGGTGCTGGGTACTGACCTCACACGGGCGGAGAGGACAGTCTCGGGGTGTGGGCAGCGAGAGACAGGTCTCGGGGACCAGGCTGCAGGGCCTGGGCTTGTGCTGCAGCAGGAAGGAAGGGACAGGTGGCACAGGAGTCAGGGGCAGGAGGCGAGAGCATGGGACGCTTGGAGCCCGGCGAGGACAGTGTGTCTCTGGGTGGGGGAGACCCCCCTGGGCCCCGAGCTGTGGAGAAGCTGGGGAGGATGGAGACCGAGAGCCCCACTGCTGTGTGCATGGGGAGGTCCCTGGAGTGGGTGCGGCGGGAGCGGGGGTCTCCCGCGCCGAGAGGACTGCGGTGCTGCCGTGCGGGTGAGGCAGCTTCGAGCAGAGAGCAGAGTCCGGGAGAGCCATTCTGGGGGAGGGGAGCAAAGCTTGCTGGCGCAGCCTGGGGCTCTGACGTGTCACGCAGGTGGCCTGGCAATGTGTGGAGAAGAGAGGGGGCAGGACGGTGGCTCTGTCAGCGGCTGACGGAGAGAGGGGCCCGGGAACGGACGGCTAGGCCCTGAAGGTGGAGGGAGGGAAGTGCAGACTGCAAGGGGCCCATCGGTGAGCAGGTCCGGGGCTTCAGGTGGGGCCGGAGGGGCAGGAGCCAGGGGTAGCTGGAGGGTGAGGCCAGGAGGGGGTGGTGAGTGCCTGAGAGTTCAGAGCCTTTTCTGAAGACTTCAAGGCCACCTGGGCCTTAGACACAGGTGCCGGGAGTGAGAAGACAGGCTTTGTTGGCTTTCGGGTCCCGGGGTCACTGAGAGGAGTAGCCCAACAGTAGCTTCCAGTCACCCCGAGAGCAGAGTGGAGGGAGACAGCACCAAGGAAGAGCAGCGGGGGTCTGGACAGTTGAGAGGGATTTCCCTGGAAGCAATTCAAGGGCAGGTGCCCGGTCCTGGGCCACCAGGGCTACGGGGGAGCCGTGTCCCGGGGAGCGTACTGGAGTCGACCACCAGGGAGGGGAGGGCCGCAGCCGGCCGAGCAGCGGGACCTTGGGTTCGACTCCCGGTGAGGGTGTGGCAAACCCAGCCCCAGCAGAACCCTGGGGCAGAGCGGAGAGGCTCCGTTTGGCTTGGCTCCTGGTCAGCAAGGAGGAAGTCTCACTGTGGCAGGGGTGGGAGCACTGCCACTCAGGTGGACGGCGGGCATCCCCGGGGATCAGGGGTGGGTGTGGGTTTGTCTTTCTATTCACGCACCCCTACGGTAGACAGCTCTCGAGGCTGTGCAGGGGCTGTGCAGGGGCTGTGTGTGCAGGACAGCGTGCCCGGGACTCAGGTGGGCTGCTGATGCAGGGACCCGGCCTGGGGACAGGGCTCTTGCTTCGTGGTTTGTCTCCCACTCCAGCCACGTCACTTAGAACCTCCACGCCCCGGGGCTCTTACTGAAAACCCTTCAGTGCCACTTACTGGCTTTGACGTGGGTTTCCTTTGTGCAAGTTTTTATGGTGCCTGCTCACTGCTGTCCTTCTTCCTCTGCCTCAAAGTCAAGGCAGGGTGGCCAGAATGGGAGGGACAGGGTGTTCGCTCTCTTGGTGTCTGCCCTTGGCTGTGGGTGTCCGTGCGGCCCAGCAGGGGCACGAAGGGCCCCCTGAGCGGACTCTGACCGCTGCTTCGGTGACCGGAGCCGTGGCCCCATTCAGCACTTGCTGACTTTTTCAGTGACAACACACTAGCTCACCAGGGGCTACGAAACCACACCTGTTTGGTAATAAAGCGCCGAGTGGGTGGGGACGGTTGGGGAGCCCACACTGCCATCCTGGTAGAAAAGGACCCAGCTGTCACTGTGTATATGTGAGTCATGACAAGCCCCCCACTGACCTCGGGTCAGCCAGAGCCCAAGGGGGTGTTCTGTTAGCCGTGCAGAGTCGTGGTTGCCCGTGGTTGTGAGGTGCTCCACTCACCTTCTCGTCTTGCCGCCTACAGTCGTCGAAGTCAACAAGCGGGACATAGTGTTCCTGGTGGATGGCTCCGCGGCGCTGCCCACAGCCAACTTCAACGCCATCCGCGACTTCATTGCCAGAGTCATCCAGAAGCTGGAGATCGGGCCGGACCTTGTCCAGGTGTCGGTAGCTCAGTACGCAGACACTGTGAACCCCGAGTTCTACTTCAACACCCACACCAGCAAGAGGGAGGTGATCTCAGCCGTGAGGAAGATGAGGCCCCTCGGGGGCTCGGTGCTGTACACGGGCTCCGCTCTGGACTTCGTCCGGAACAGCCTGTTCACGACCAGGGCCGGCCACCGGGCCGCCGAGGGCGTCCCGAAGCTCTTGGTGCTGATAACAGGTGGTAAGTCGCTAGACGACGTCAGCCAGCCGGCCCAGGAGCTGAAGAGGGACGGCATCCTGTGCTTCGCCGTTGGGAGCAAGGCTGCCGACCAGGGCGAGCTGGCGGACATGGCCTTCGATTCGTCCCTGGTGTTCACCCCGGCCGAGTTCCAGCTCGCTCCCCTGCAGGGCATGCTGCCCAGCTTGCTGGCACCACTGAGAACCCTCTCCGGAACCACTGAAGGTATGTGAGGGGGGCTTGGGGGTGGGGGGCCCCAGGCAGAGCCTTCAGGCAACACAGCAGAGGGCCACTTAACTTGTGCCAGTTAGGAGACAATCCATAAGTGGAGGAGGCAAGTGCGACAGGTGACACTTATGTCCTGTTTTCTGTTGTTGGCCCTGAGCCAGGACTTGTGGGACTGAGCTGCCATACGGTACAACTTCAGGTCCGAGTATGTCACGTGAGAACTGGGCGTCTTCTAGTGCCATCAGATAAGAATGCCGTGGCTTAAACTGTAGGTTCAGGGCCCGTCTGTCTCTGAAGCTTCTAGAGGAGGTGGTCCCCTCTGGGTTCCTGTCCCTTCTCAGGTCCCAGCATTTTGTGTCTACTGGGGACCCTTGTCCAGCCTCCTTTTCCTCCGTCCCCAACCCCAAGATGAAGCCTGGATCTTCCTCTCTGGAGCTGACAGCCCACTCCTCAGGGACCAGGGCAGGTGCTAACCCGCTGTCCCCTCCGTCTACGGGATGCCCTGTCCATCCGTGGGAAGCACAGGGAACCCGTGGGTATGAACAGCGGTTGTTCCATGCCCTCAGGTAGTGTGGCTGTTGGTGGGAAGTTGTTTCAGCAACACCCAGGCAGTCCTCGAGCTGATGAACAAGTGGGCTTTGCCTGCCGTCCTACTAAAGATGCTCTCACAGAGCTGGTTTCTGCCTCAGGAGCTCTGCCTGAGAGAGTTCCGTGCTTGGCCACGTTGCGTGAATGTGCGCTTTCTCCTCTGGCACTCTCTCTCTCTCTCCCCCCGCCCTCCCTCCTGTTCTTGAAAATTCTAATCCACACTCTCATAGCCAAAGTACAGTTTGACAGAACATAGGGTAAAATTAGTTGCTAGATTTAAATTTTCCTGACACTGGGGACAGACAGGAAAGAGGCATGGACTTGGATGTGGGGGGAAACACCGTGTTGGAGAATTGCACCTTTGACCCTTCACGGGTACAGCCTCGGCCAAGCCCAGAGAGGGACTCGTTCCCCTCTCCCGTGTTCCCTTGATCCTGTGCTCTTGCTCCAGAGGGATTCCCATGGGTGCCCCGTTAGGAAAAGAGGACAGAAGGAAGGGATGAGTGGGTGCCCCTAGGAAAGCTCGAGATGAGAACAGACTCATCCTGTTAAGCATTTTGAGTCTTAAGGAAGTTGTGTTCTGGGGTGAACTTGGGTCAGCGCCTTTGACCCCTTTAACCTGCCTGGAGGGGAAGCCCCAGCACATGCACAGAGGCATGTCCACGAGTACCCCGTCTGAGGCAGGGGACGCTGGCTCTGACTGTGCCCCCGGACACGGGTGAGGCCAGGCTCAACGGCACCCTTGCAGAATCCACTCCCAGGGAAGGGTGCTAAGGCTCCGATCCTTTCTGTCGGTTGAAAACATTGTGCCTTTGGCGATGTGTCTCTCTGTGAGCCAGCTTGGCCTCTCCCGTGCCTGTCCATGTGTCTCACGCACTGCTCCGGTGGGGGACCTGGGCAGCCCTCTGCCTCGTGTCCAGAGCCGGATGTGCTTTGCCTCCCTGGTGTGTCCCCGTGTCCTGCGTGTTGGCATGTGTGCCTGCAGAAGGCACACATGGGAAACCCCCGTGGGCGTGTGTGTGTGTGTCTCACTTTGTTCTCTGTGCTTCACTGCAGTTCACGCAAACCAAAGGGATCTCATCTTCCTTTTGGATGGATCACTCGGCGTCGGAAAGACCAACTTCCCCTATGTGCGGGACTTTGTAATGAACGTAGTTAACAGCCTTGATGTTGGAGGCGACAGGATTCGCGTGGGTGTAGTGCAATTTAGTGACGCTCCGGTCACAGAGTTCTCCCTAAACACATACCAGACCAAGGCAGATGTGCTCGCGCACCTGCGGCGGCTGCAGCTGCAGGGGGGGTCGCGCAGGAACACGGGCTCCGCCCTGCGCTACGTGCGCGCCCACCACTTCACCGAGGCCGGCGGCAGCAGGATCCGCGCGCACATCCCGCAGCTCCTGCTCCTGCTCGCGGCCGGCCGGTCGGAGGACTCCTACTTGCACGCCGCCAATGCGCTGGCCCGCGAGGGCATCCTGACCTTTTGTGTGGGAGCCGAGCAGGTGGATAAGGCCGAGCTTGAGCAGATCGCTTTTAACCCGAGCCTGGTGTATCTCATGGACGATTTCAGCTCCCTGCCGGCTCTGCCCCAGCAGCTGATTCAGCCCCTAACCACGTATGTCAGTGGGGGTGTGGAGGAAGTCCCACTGGCCCAGCCAGGTAAAGCTCCCCGCTGGGCGGGGCTCCCTCCCCCAGCTCCTCCCCGGCGGGCAGGCGGCCCAGCCTGAACTCCAGAGCATGGTGGCCTGTAGAAGGTCCACGGACTCCCTTTGGCCAAAGCGTTTTGAATGGGGGCTCCAGACATGGCTGCAGCAGCTGTGTGCGCTCTGTCTGGAGGGTGTTCACGAGGGTCAGTGAGGGTGGGAATTCGGCTGGTGCGCCTCACACCTCACCCCACCCTTCATTCAGAAGCTGCCTCCCCGAATGCTTGCTATCTTCCTTCTGGGCTGCAAACAGAGGTGGACGTGAGGGGGTGCCAGCAGATAGAGATGAGCCTGCTTCCCCGGGAGGGTGCCTCGGAATCAGTGGGCAGTCTCAGGTCTTTTCCTCAGGCGACATTCTTTGTGCACGCCATCTGCCGTATCCGGACCAGGGGCTGCACTTTCTGTGATGGTAACAGGACTTCCAGAGGCAGCCTGGCCCGGGGTTCTTCCCGCAAATGACTATGGTGGTGGCGGAGGGGTGCTGAGTGGTCCAGCTGTTGACGTCACGCGGACAGGCGGCAGGACCGAGACCACCGAACCACATCAGAGAGTCCTAGGGCGCGCTGGGACCCAACCCCACGTTCATGTGGCCCGGGGGGCCCCACTGGGCGCTGTCACCCTTGTTTTGATGTCTAAATACAGCGGATCGGGGTGCAGCGACCCACAGAGCAGTGACGGACATTATACCGAGTGCTGATCTGTAACCTCCAACTGAAGGAAATGGTAATCCCGTTACAGCAGATAGGTGGGTGTCACTTACCCTCAGTTAGTGACAGCGCCCGCCTCTGTCACAAGAAGTAGGTCGGCTTCTAAGCAAAAGGACAAGGAGGGCCCCACGTTGGAGAGTTCAGTGTCTAATCTGGAAACGTGGTCTGTTGTAGAGCGGTTGCCCCCTGAGGCCAGAACGTGACCCTCTGGGCCCCCTGTTGGTTGCTCTGGTGACGAAGTTCACTGCCGGCTGGGGGAGACCCGTCTCACTCTTCTAGCCCTTCACCTGTGCTCCCTTCTTGGGAAGGACCAGAACAACATGGGCGTTTTAATGACGGCCGGGGAGGGCTTTTTCTTCCCTTGCTGGCATGGTGGTGTTCAGGTGCCTTGTGTGATGCCCATGGCCGAATTCAAGTGCGGCTTGGCTGAAGCCCATCTGGTGCCTGCCCTGCTCTTGAACCTCACTGTGTCCTAATCTCCTTGTTTTGCAGAAAGCAAGAGAGACATTCTCTTCCTCTTCGACGGCTCAGCCAATGTCATGGGCCAGTTTCAGCCCGTCCGGGACTTTCTCTACAAGATAATTGACGAGCTGGACGTGAGGCCGGAGGGCACCCGAGTGGCCGTGGCTCAGTACAGTAACGATGTCAAGATGGAGTCCCGCTTCGATGAGCATCAGAACAAGCCCGAACTCCTGAATCTGGTGAAGAGGATGAAGCTCAAGACCGGCAGGACCATCAACCTGGGCTACGCCCTGGACTACGCGGACAGATACATCTTCGTGGAGTCCGCCGGGAGCCGGATCCAGGAGGGCGTGCCTCAGCTCCTGGTGCTGCTGGTGGCCGGGAAGTCGTCCGATCACGTGGAGGAGGCAGCACGGGTCCTGAAGGGGAGGGGGGTGGTGATTTTCGCGTTGCAGGCCAAGAACGCAGACCCTGCCCAGCTGGAGCTGATAGTGCTGTCCCCCGCCTTTATCCTGGCGGCCGAGTCGCTCCCCAAGATCGGCAACCTTCATCACCAGGTGGTGAATCTCCTAGAGACAGTGCCCACGGCACCAGGTACGGCACGGAGAGTCGGGTTGCTTCTGCAGCTCGGTTCCTCAGTGTGGGGGTGACGGCGGACGGCGGCTGCCGGCCGTCAGAGGGAAGCCCCCGGGGTGTCTGGGAAGGTGGGAAAGTGGCAGGCGGTTTCTGCAGGAACAGCGAACCAGGGCTTTTCTTTCCCCACTTGGACTCTCTAGTTGCTCTCCGAGGCAAACGGGAGCAGTTATTCTCAGGGACATTAGAGTCTTTCACAATAAGATGCATGCCGAAGAGTTAGACATATTTGTGGTTAGAAACCCTTTGAAGAGAGACGATTTTACTATATGCATAATAAAAGCCACATGGCATGGTTACATTGTAGCTAAAGGGCTCTTCCTCTCCGCACTCCCCCGTGTCCTGTTCGAAGGGTGTGCCCCGAGTTAGAATTCCTTCACTCCATTCATTAGACGCGCACAGCGTGACGAGAGGCAGACGAGTTCCCGCTCCAGACACTGCAGAAAACATTTTTCACCGACAGTCCCAGGCCTTTGAGTTTAACCACATTCCAGCCGCTGAGACCAGTGCAGTGAAAAGGGCTACTAATTTCACGAGTGATCCTTGCGATGGGACCCCGGGGATCGGGCAGTCCCGTGGTGACCGTGGGGCCCACACACTGTTGGTGTGGGACTGTGACTCGGACGTCTGGGTCACACTCCCCCCCACGGATCCGTGGTGACTTGCAGCGAATTATCTGCAACCGCCCACCTACAACGAGGCAGCGGGTCCCGCAGGCTGCGCCCCCTCCCTCCTCAGCCCCGTGTTTCTCCCGGAGCTGGCCTTCGAACGTCGGCAGTGCCGCCCGGCCTGGGGCAGCTCTGAAATAAAAGTGCTGTCTACACATAACGGTGCACCCTCCCCCGGCCCCGCCAGGGCTGCTGCAACAAATTACCACAAATTGGGTGGCTTTAAACAACAGGGAATTCACAAACCCAGGGTCCCTGGGCTAAAGTCGGGGTGTCCGGTGAGACTGAATTCCTCCTGGAGGCTCTGCCGGGTTATCCCTTCCCCGCCTTCTCAGTTCCCAGAGGAGCCTGCAGCCTTTGGCTAGCGGCCTCTTCCCTCGCCTTCAAAGCGGCAACATAGTATCTCCTCGCCTTCAAAGCGGCAACATAGTATCTCCTCGCCTTCAAAGCGGCAACATAGTATCTCCTCGCTTCCGGGACTTCTGCTCCCATCCTCTTCTTTTCTCCCTCTAGCCTGGTCCCCGTCTTCCTCTTATAAGGGCATCCCCAAAGTCACGTTCTGCTCTGGGAATTCAAAACCCGACATTCCTGTGGGGCCGTTATTCAGCCCACCATGAGTGGCACAAAACCATCCCTCTCGTGTCCTGTTTGGGTCACGTGGCTGTCTTCCTCCAGTTCCAGAGCCGAAGGACGTGGTGTTCCTGCTCGATGGCTCGGACGGGGTCCGGAGCGGCTTCTCCGTGCTGAAAGGTCTGGTCCAGAGGGTGGTGGAGAGCCTGGACGTGGGCCCCGACCGCGTCCGCGTGGCCGTGGTGCAGTACAGCGACCGCACCAAGCCCGAGTTCTACCTGAACTCCTACATGGACCAGCAGAGCGTGGTCAGCGCGGTCCGCGGCCTGGCCCTGCTGGGGGGGCCGGCCCCCAGCACCGGGGCCGCCCTGGACTTCGTCCTGAGGAATGTCCTGATCAGCTCGGTTGGAAGCAGGATTGAGGAAGGTGTCCCCCAGCTCCTGATCATCCTCACGGCCGACAGGTCCGGGGACGATGTGGGCGGCCCCTCCAGGGTCCTGAAGAGCGCCGGGGCGGTGCCCATTGGCATCGGCATCGGCAACGCCGATATCAGGGAGATGCAGACCATCTCCTACGTCCCCGACTTCGCCGTGACCGTCCCCACCTTCACGGACCTGGTGAATGTACAGCAGCACCTCCACGGGAAGGTCCAGCTCAGCAGACAGGAGCTCACCCAGCTGTCGACGGTTTACGGGCCTTCACCAGCGCCGAGTAAGGCCAGGTCACCCTTCCTTAAAGCAATGGGGCGACTCCCTGGGGCCGTGGGCTGCAAAGCATTCTCAGTGTGTGTCCCCTGCCACCCGGGGTGTGAACTAGAATTCCAAGAAGGGGAGGAGCCACGTGTGTGGTCTCGGGGGCTGGCAATGGCAGGGGCCTGGGGAGGTGCTAAGGTTCTCGTTTTTGGCCAAATTAAAGTCGGACAGAAGGGCATGTGCCTGGCCCGTGGGTTGGGTGCCCTGGCCCTGCAGGGAGGCTTTTGTGTGGGTGCCCACAGGGCGGGGCTGTCTCCTCGACGACAGTGGTTCAGGGCCCTTCTCAGCTGTCCCCAGAAGGTCCAGCTGTCAGCCTTCCGTGACCAGGGCCTGGGTTCGACCCCAGGTATGGAGTTGAGCCGGAACACAGTCTCCGAAATCCTGGTTTCTGCAGAGCCAGAGTGTGAGGGTGGCTTTCCAATTTGCTTGGTCCTGAGAAATGTCTTAATCGTCGGGAAGGCCACATGGCTGGCTCTGTGGCTGGACTGTGTCCCACATCCACCTTCCTGTCACTTTCCCGGGCCTGGTGACCACACTCTGGCAGGTGCTGGGAGCCTGGCCGCTGGAAAGGAAGGGGCCGGGTGGGGACAGTCATCACCGTCTTTTCCTTGGGGCTCACATCCTCCAGAACACTGTCGGCAGCCTCTTGGTGTGGAGCAGGGGGAAGGAAGGGAGGAGAAAAAGCCAGAAGAAAAGTCAGATGCAGGACACAGAGCCTTTGGGAGAATGAGGGCGCGGAGGGGGTCTGCTTCCCCTGCTGCTGTGCAGGGCAGAGGGCAGCCCGGTGCCCAGGCTTCCGGGGAAAGTTCCGAAGGGCTCGTCGTCAAATTGACCTGGGAACCAGTGAGACGCTCAAAGGGAAAGAGGTGCCCGCTAATCAGGGTGCTTTGCGAATCTCCAGCAGTGGGCGGCAGTGTCTGCAAACTCCGTTCCCTTAGGGGCCTCCCACCCCTTGCGGCTGCATGGCCAGGGCCCCAGAGCGCGCCCCTGGGCAATGCCCTCGAGGTGATCTTGTGGCTGCTTCACCTGAAGCACCAGCCTGAACTGCTACGGCAACAGGACTCCCGCCCTCACCCCCGCCCCGCTTCCGCTAGGCCCCGCCCTCCAGCCCGCTCGGAGGTGCTTGCGCATCTGGAACCCCACTTCCCTGGCCAGTGTCGGGGAATTGGGGAAGGGCTTCTGGAAGCACCAGGTGGCCTCTCCCAGCACAGGAGTCCTTGCCTCAGCTTCGCCCCCTCCCCCGTGACCGTGGTGAACCCTGTCTGCCCCCGGGCTCTCCTCCCACCCACACAGGGGTGTCCCGCCTCCTGGTCGCCCGTTGTCCCTGAGCATGGGGAGGGCAACCGTCTCCTCGCTGCACACGCACTGCTTTCTTTCTGGAGGAGACAGATCCCACACTCTGCACATCTCTGCTCTGAACCCCCCGCATCTGTCCCCCCCGATGCTGCTGCACGTGAAGTGCTCCTCCCCAGGGCCCCCCATCTGACCAAGCCCAGCACTCGGTTCTCAGGTGCCTTCTGGTTTGGCCCACAAGCAGCATCTGTCACAGCTGAGGTCCCTCCTTCCCGGACACCATCCCCACACCATGTACACCTGTATCCGGTCTCTACCCCCCTCCCAGTGACCCTTCCTCAGCCGGTTCCTCTCTTCTCTTTGACTTGCAGTCACTTGGCCGGGAGCAGGCATTTCCACTGAAATTGTTTTAGAGTCGGGACGCTTTGCCTGTTACATGGTGGTTCTGGACAGGCCGGGAGGTGGTTGGCTCGTGCTGAGAATCAGGTGCCAGTGAAAGCGAAGCCCCCTCTGTCATTGGGTCCGCAGGTGCTGGCAGCAAGAAGGACGTGGTCTTTCTCATTGACGGGTCCCTGCGCGCCGGCCCTGAGTTTCAGTACATCCGTGCGCTCATTGAGAGGCTGGTGAACTCGCTGGACGTGGGCTTCGACACCACCAGGGTGGCGGTCATCCAGTTCGGCCAGGAGAAGCCCCAGGTGGAGTTCCTGCTCAACGCCTACACCAGCAAGGAGGAGGTGCAGAATGCGGTTCGGCAGCTGCAGCCCAGGGGCGGGAGGCAGGTCAACATCGGCAGCGCCCTGGACTTTGTGTCCAGGAACATCTTCAAGAGGCCCCTGGGGAGCCGGATTGAGGAGGACGTCCCTCAGTTCCTGGTCCTCATCTCGTCCGGGAAATCCGGGGATGAGGTGGACGACTCGGTGGCAGAGCTCAAGCGCTCCGGCGTGGCGCCCCTCACCGTGGCCCGGAACATGGACCCGGAGGAGCTGGTGAAGATCTCCCTGAGCCCTGAGTACGTGTTCTCGGTGAGCACCTTCCGGGAGCTGCCCCGCCTGGAGCAGAAGCTGCTGACCCCCATCACGACCCTGACCTCCCAGCAGATACGGCGGCTGCTGGCCAGCACCACCTATCCTCCGCCAGGTGAGCAGGCGGGGGTGGTGTTGATAACCAAAAAGGGGCAGGCTCAAAGATCCACGGCGCTCACGGTGCGTGCCAGAACACAGTGCACCAGGCGGGCCTCTGGCTCCGCGCAGGCGGGAGGCAAGCTGTGGGTCACCGCTGTCCTAGGGAGGGCTTCTGCTAGGACCTGAGCTCGTGGCAGGGGGTCCGCAGAAGGCTCAGGGAAATGGGCCTTGGCCCGGGTAAGATGCGGTCAAGAGAGGGAAGTAACCCTAATGACTGGGTGCCCTGCTGAATCTCAGGGCTGAAGCTGCCGGGGGCGGAGAAGCCCCGGTTGCTCCTCTCAGCCAGGACAGAGGGGTGTTTGGTTATTTTTGTCTTTTCATCAGTGTCCACATAGGGTGATGGCCGCGTGACCTCTTTTTTGTCTCGATGCGTCGTGGTCACCGTGTGGCTTTCCCTGACGCTGGTGTCCCCCTCTGGTCTTTGTGTCCCTCAGGAGAGCCCAGGGCCCACTGTATGTGCGGGGCAGCGTCTCCCTTTCTCAGCGTGAGTGGCTCGGTGGCGCCACTGGCTCAGCATTTGCTCTGCTGTTCCCACCACCCACCGGGCGCCCGGTGACTGGTGAGGCCGAAGATCGGCCGAGTTGGTCGAGTGGAAGCCTACGAGCCATTTAATAACACGTGGCTCCGGGTTAATTTGTTAGTTGAACAATGGACTCGTGTAGAGATCTAGGAGACGTGGTACTGAAAGTAAAAACTGTGTGTAAATGCTGGAGATGCCTGAGCAGGAGGCACCCACCAATGGTGACAGCGGGGGCGGAGGGTGGGGGCTGCTTTGGGAGGCAGCAGGTGTCGTCCGGGCGGCCAGGAGAGGACCTTTGACCTCAGGGGGGCCGCTCTTCTTGTGCCACCAGGATGGTGGTCTGGGGGCCCCCGAGCCTTCTGGTCGGGACCGCACATGATTCTGTAGGTTCTGGTTTCTGGGATTCATTTCTAAATATCACTTTGATTGTTCAAATTAGTTGTAACCCGGACCACAAAAGCCAAAATTAAAACTGAGTAAACCCAGAAAATTTTGGAGAACTTAAAATATTTCAAGAAGTGGATATCATTTGGGTGCAAAAGGCCCAATTATAATGATTATTTAAAAAAACCCCAAGCTATAATAAACACGTGTGACTCGGGTTATAGTTTTAATCCCGTGCTGGGGTGCAGCACGCCACACGACCCGGAGTAAAACGCCAAGGCCGGAAACAGAGGCAGTCGCCGCCCGCCCTGTGCTGAGCCCCCTTCTTTCCCTTCCGTCCGCAGCTGCTGAGAGCGACGCGGCCGACATCGTCTTCCTCATCGACAGCTCGGACGGGGTGAGGCCGGACGGCATCGCGCACATCCGGGACTTCATCATCAAGATCGTGCGGCGGCTCAACGTCGGCCCCAACAAAGTGAGGATCGGGCTCGTGCAGTTCAGCAACGACGTCTTCCCCGAATTCTACCTGAAGACCCACAAGTCCTCAGCCGCCATGATCAGCGCCATCCGCCGCCTGGGGTTCAGAGGGGGGTCTCCGCTCAACACCGGCAAAGCTCTGGAGTTCGTGGCGAGAAACCTCTTCGTCAAGTCCGCTGGGAGCCGGATAGAAGACGGGGTGCCCCAGCACCTGGTTCTGTTTCTGGGTGGAAAATCCCAGGATGACATTTCCAGGTTTTCCCAGGTGATCCGCTCCTCAGGGATCGTGAGCTTGGGGGTGGGCAGCCACAGCGCCGACAGGACGGAGCTGCAGACCGTCACCGGCAACCCCAGGCTGGTCTTCACGGTGCAAGAGTTCAGAGACCTGCCCAACCTGGAAGACAGGATCATGAGCGCAGTCGGACCCTCTGGGGTCACGCCGGCACCTCCGGGAGCGCCGGTAACTTCCCCGCCGCGCACAGGTACGACCGGTGGGACCGCGACTATGGGGTGGGACACCAGTATTTTTTTTTTTTACTGAAAAATGTCATTAGCATTCATTTCGATGATTTTCACCTCATAGGGTTGTTGCTCCAGATAATATTAGAAATTAAATACTAGAATAATAATTTAGTTGAAATTGTAGAAGGAAACATAACCCAGAAAGCAAAGGGTTACTAACCCCCCGCCGTGAGACGTCCGTGAGCTTCTCTGAGCTTAAACGCAGCTGAGAGGCTCTCGAAGGTGCCCTGAGCGGTGACGCCCGGCGTTGGCCTCGGAACAGGATGGCCTCACAGAAGCTGGCCAGCCCGTGACCCTCACTGCTCTGGTCTCAACTGCTCGGTGGAGCTAGGAAGTGACCCCAAATGCCACTGATTTTCAGCAGTGTCCCACAAAGCTCTCAGCACCTTGGCGGGTGACCCCTGTAGAGGCGCGTGGGGTTGGCTTCCCATTTTGTGACCGGTCCCTGCCAGCCTTTCCTGGCTCTGCCTCCGGCACAGGGTCCCAGTTCTTGCTGGATGCCATCCTTCATTTGGACTGGAAAGAGTGTTTGGTGGCATTTCTTTTCTTTTTTTTTTTAAAGATTTTATTTGTTTATTTCAGAAAAATGGGGAAGGGAGGGTGAAAGAGAGGGAGTGAAACATCAATGTGTGGTTGCCTCTAGCACATCCCCCACTGGGGACCTGGCCTGCAACCCAGGCATGTGCCCTGACTGGGAATCAAGCCGGTGACCCTTTGGTTCACAGGCCCACGCTCAACCCACTGAGCTACACCAGCCAGGATGGTGGCATTTCTTAAAACACCTGAAGTCAGGGACTGCGCAGCAGAATACCATTTTGGATGGGGCGGCCGGGACTCAGTCTCGCTGAGTTCTCGTGTTTCCTTTCCTCTTTGTTTCCATGACGGATCATTTCTCTTATGTTTAGCGTGATGGTTTGAGGGCTGTGAATTCGGAAAGTGCAGAGGCGTGGGGTGGAGCGGGGGTGTTTGCTGGGAATGAGTCGCAGGGCGGCCGCGTTCCAGTTGTTTTCGTTTGATTCTGTGTCGACCGCGGCCACGGAAACCAACCCTGTGCTCCTCTTCGTTCCGGCTACTTTCAGAAAACAAGAAAGCGGACATCGTGTTCCTGCTGGACGGCTCCATCAACTTCCAGAGGAGCAGCTTCCAGGAGGTGCTGCACTTCGTGTCCGACATTGTGGACACCGTGTACGGGCCGGACGACTCCATTCAGGTGGGGCTGGTCCAGTACAACTCCGACCCCACTGACGAGTTCTTCCTGAAGGACTTCTCCACCAAGCAGCAGATCATTGACGCCATCAACAGTGTGGTCTACAAGGGGGGGCGGCACGCCAACACCAAGGTGGCCTTGGAGCACCTGCGGCTGAACCACTTCGTGCCGGAGGCCGGCAGCCGCCTGGACCCGCAGGTCTACCCGGTCGCCTTTGTGATCACCGGAGGGCGGTCGGTAGAGGACGCGCAGGAGGCCAGCCTGGCGCTCACCCAGAAGGGCGTCAAGGTGTTCGCGGTGGGCTTGGGGAGCGCCGACTCCGTGGAGCTCGGGAAGGTCGCGTCCAACAGCGCCATGGCCTTCCGCGTGGGCAGCATCCAGGAGCTGTCGGAGCTGAAGGAGCAAGTGCTGGAAACACTGGACGCGGCCATGCAGAAGAACCTGTGTCCGGGGCAGACGGACGTGGCCAGAGGTAGCGCCTTCCCCGGGCTGACTTGCAGCCTGGACACCCAGCGCCGGCCCCGGGGGTTCCTTAAGCATCCGCTTCCCCCGGGGAATTTTGGGACTTCTGTCCGCCTGGGTTGAGTCAGGGCGGTCACCGAGCCCGCTGTGGGGTGTTCTTCTAGTATAAGAGGGAAGCCTGTCTTTCTTGTTTTTGTAAGATTTACTTTCTCTCTCTATTCTTTAATCCCCCAATAATTCCAACTATTGACCCCCATTTTTGTCCATAGATTCATTACATCAGTGACAGGAGGTCAGAGCATTTGAGCTCTCAGGCGCATTTAGTTTAGAGCACGAACTTGCACCCAAATAGTAACAGCACAGATGACTATCACAGAAACACTCCCTGGTGCCCGGGGAGGCCGGCGGATGGGCTGCTGCTCAGAGTTCATCTGCACAAGTGCTCGCCGTGCCCTGTGCGTCCGGTGCCCTGGCCCTGGACCCCCGGCTGTGCCCGAAGGTCGGGCTCATCTCCACAGCCCCTCTTAGAGCTCACCGTCTGCTTCCCCCCACAGCCTGTAACCTGGATGTGATTCTGGGGTTTGATGGCTCCAGAGACCAGAATGTCTTTGTGGCTCAGAAGGGCCTCGAGTCCAAGGTGGAGGCCGTCTTGAATCGAATCAGCCAGATGCAAAGGCTCAGCTGCAGCGGCGGCCAGATGCCCACCGTGCGGGTGTCCGTGGTGGGCAGCACGCCCTCGGGCCCGGTGGAGGCCTTCGACTTTGCCGAGTACCAGCCGGAGCTGCTCGAGAAGTTCCAGAACATGCGTAGCCAGCACCCCTACATCCTCACGGCGGACACGCTGAAGGCCTATCAGAGCAAGTTCCGGCAGGCCTCGCCGGACAGCGTGAAGGTGAGCAGGGCCGCCTGGTCGCCGGGAAGCCTGCGGTGTTCCGTAAACACCGTTCACGTTCCGTGGCCTTGGAAGCGCCTGTGGTGCCAGTCATGTACTCAGCCCGTCGACGGATCTGAAGCACAGTGTCTCCCTGGTCTCAGCTCAGCCCTCTAAGAAAATACCCTGGAAGTCACTGGTGGAGCCTGAATGAGCTGCATTTGTGATTAGTGCACGGCTGTAGACCCACCTGTTGAATAGTGCCCTTCCCTGTACAGGTCCGCTCCCTCTCTGGGCACACACCCGTGGTAAACTGTGTATGTGCACACAGAGTTACAAGTACGCACACGTAGGGAAGTGAGACGACTGTTTTCCTTTTCGTTGCTGCCTGTGGTTTTGGATAAACCAAACACCACCACGCACGGCTTCCTTTCCCACTGGAGTCAACTGCACGGCAGCCGAGAGCCAGGGACGCGGGGCCCTGGTGCCCGACCCCAGCCCCCAGTTTCCTCTGCTGTAAACAGAGGTGGACGCTCCCTCGCAAGTGTCTGTGACGTGTCTTTTCAGTGTTGGCTGTGGTGTGACTCGTCCTCTATTTTCAGGTGGTCATTCATTTTACTGACGGGGTGGATGGAGATCTGGCTGCTTTGCAACAGGCTTCGGAGGAGCTCCGACAAGCAGGTAGGTTCCGGGGCTTTCTAAACACAGGACCGGGCCGTGGGGGAGGCAGCCGGGCGGCTCTGCAGGAGAGACAGGAGTCGCTGCCGGGTCCTCAGGCCACCCTCCTCCTGGGCATCTTGGCTCCCTGCCGCCCACCTGTGGCAAGGGGATGGGGCAGCAGGGAGCCACCTGCACCCCAGACCGAGTCCTGGCACAGGCCCCGCCGTCTCAGACCCACCCAAGTGGTACGACATCAGGGAGCAGGACACTTTTGCAAGAGGACCGGAAGGCCTGATTTACCGGCTGACATCACAAACTAGGAATTGATTTTGCAGCAAAAAATATTGCCGTCTTTTCAGTTAGTCCAGCTCAAGAAGACAACAGCATCAAAGAAACATAAACTTCAACGTAACATAAATAAAAGCACACTTTCCAAGTTCAGGGTGACCAATCGGAGGAGCTGTGGTGCCTGCTGTGGGAGGTGACGGCCGCCCGCCCAGGGCTCTGGACTCTGGTGTCGCTCTGACCACCAGGGTTGAGGCGGGTGTAGGGAAGTGTTCAGTCACCACGAGAGCGTTCCGTTCATGGCTGGTTTCCCCGAGCAGCAGGGTTGAGACTGCTCTCGCCTGGTTTGGAGGGGGCTTCACCTCTTTCCCGGGTGTCCCCGTGTCGGCTGGGACCAGCCAGGGAGTTCATGCACAAAGACACTTCGCAGTGTCACTGCCAGTGTCCACAGTAAGCAGTTCAGTCGCTGACGTGTCTGAGACCACTGCTCCGCGGGTGGGGCTCCACGCTGCACTATTTGGGCTCCATCGATGGGCTCACTAGCTTGTGTACAGGAGTCTCCGGGAAGGGCGGAATGATACACTGACGTTGTCCTTAAAGATGAGAGGTGCCTCGGCTCTCCAGCGCCCGGTGAGCCTTGGAAACGTGCCGTCCTCGCAGGTGTCCAGGCGCTGATCTTGGTGGGCCTCGAGCGCGTCGCCGACTTGGAGCAGCTGATGCAGCTGGAGTTCGGCCGAGGGTTCATGTACAACAGGCCCCTGAGGCTCAACTTGCTGGACCTGGACTACGAGCTTGCCGAGCAGCTGGTGCGTGTTATGTGCCTCCGCACAGCACCCCCGGTGTTTGGCTTCTCGCGGTAAAGGAGTCAGGCCCTGGCTGGTGTGGCTCAGTGGACCGAGCATGGGCCTACGAACCGAAGGGTCACCGGTTCGATTCCCAGTCAGGGCACATGCCTGGGTGGCAGGGAAGGTCCCCAGTAGGGGGTGTGAGGGAGGCAACCACACACTGATGTTTCTTTGCCTCTTTTTCTCCCTTCCTTCCCCTCTCCCTAAAAATAAATAAGTAAAACCTTTAAAAATGTAATTAAATCAATGATCCCCTGGTGATAGGGCGGGGCCGCTGGGTGGGTGACTTAACCCATTGAATACACAAGGGACCTACTTTGTTGCCCTCGCATGAGTGAGTCCTGGACGTGAATAGGTCCTGAGCGAAAGGGTCGGTGAGCTGGGACACGCGTCCCCGGGCGTGCTGACGTTGTGGCCTCAGTGTCCCCTCTGCTCCCTCCGATGGAGGTCTTTTCATTCGTAAGATTTCTGAGAAGACAAACCAGCAGGACAGAGCCTTCCCAAACGGAAGCTGTGTCCCTGGCCTCAGAAAGCCGGCCCGAGGCGAATGAGAATGTGATGAGAATGTGCAGGGAGAGGAAGGAGCGTTTCCGGGGGAGGAGGCTGCTGGTGCCGTCTCCTCGGTTTCCTTGGAGCGAGTGAGGTGCCCCTGGGGCTCGCTCCCCCTCAGCAGTTCAGGCTCTCTCAGCGGGAGGGTCGGGAGGAAGGGGAAGCTCTGGGAAGCTCACTGCCAGAAAGCAGACCCCCCCACCATGAGTTTCGCAGGTGGAGGTGCGGTTTGGGTACGGCTTCCCCATGGGGGGGTGGGAAGGGTGTGTGAGGGCCCCGGAGGTGCACTGGTGACCCTGCTGGTGGTGCCGTGGCTGGGAGGCAGGGGCCGAGGGGTCTGCCCCCCACACACCAAGCCCCCTCCAGGCTGGTGCCCTGGTCCAGGGCCCTGACCTCGAGCCTTCGTTTTGAAACCACCTCTGTTGGTGGTTTCACCATTGGCCATTTGTTGGTTAGGTTTTGCTGTTTCTTTGGAGCTTCTGAGCACATGAAGGATGCTTCATGTTTGAGACTTGAGTGTCTGTGTTGGAGAGTTATAGAGATAAGGCCCAGCCCGAGGGGACCTTGTGAACAAGGTGTATTTTACTTTGCTCTTGGTCTCCCGTTAGTGACTGCCCCCTCCCCCCCAGCCCCCGACGGTGAGGATGAGAAGCCAGTCTCTGAGTGAACGCCACACCAGAGTGACTTCCTCCCTCACCCCGGGATCCGCGCAGATCGGGCCTTGCCCTTCAGGGCCCACTTGTGCTGTTCGGGGCAGGCTTACTGAGACTCGAACGTTTGGTTACAATCTGGCAGGACAACGTCGCGGAGAAAGCCTGCTGCGGGGTGCCCTGCAAGTGCTCCGGACAGAGGGGAGACCGCGGACCCATCGGCAGCATCGGGCCAAAGGTACCTCGGCTTTGCCCATTTCTTACACCTGAGGCTCGATTTCTGGAGTCGGTCATCACCTTGGCTGGAGGTGGAGAAGGGGGAGGAAGGGGCCCCCAGGTTGTAGGACGGAGGATCGGAGGATTGGACGCAGGTCCAAATGTCTGCTCCCTTCCTGCGACAGTCCCTGGGGCGAGGGGATCTCGCCGTTCCCTGACCCGCTGGCTCTCCGTGTTACAAAGAACGTTAGAACCAGCAGCCATCTCTGGCCGCTCACTGCCGATGGTCTGCAGGGACGCTTGGCATCTGCCTCGGAGTGACAGGAAAGAGACAGGATGTCGTAACAGAGCAGGAGCCTTAAAGGTCCTGATAGAAAGAACAATTGCACCGAAATAGCGAGCAGAAAATTGGGAAGTTCAAGGGGACAGCTAAAGCTGCTTTCAACTTGAGTGCTGCTCTGCCTCACGCAGGGAGTCAGGGAGACACTCCGGTACAGAGCAAGCCCCCCTCCAGAACCCTTGGGTTCACCCAGGAACCCCTGTGCTTTGTTTTAGGGCATTGCTGGAGAAGACGGCTACCGAGGTTATCCCGGGGACGAGGGCGGACCCGTAAGTCAAGTTGCTCGTTCCTGAAATTGTCATTCCCTCCTTGTTCTGTGCTGGGACGGAATGGTGGGCTTCCGCTTCTGGGGCCTCTCCCGCCGGGAAAGGTTGATGGGTAACTTCCTTGGCAACTTGGTGGATCGCCACGTGATGGGAAGCAGTGGGGCTTCCCTGCCTCTGAGTCTCGAGGAGGGGTCTCTGAGTCTCGAGGAGGGGTCTCTGAGTCTGGCTCTGCTCAGTCAGACCCCCAAGCAGAGGGGGGAGTCAGCGGGAGCGGGGTGTCTCGGCCCCAATCAGGCCGTGGTTGGGCCATGCCCTTTAGTGGAAGTCTCCCAGGAAAGGCTTGGGTGGACCATAGCTTTGGGGTTCACCGGAGGGTGGGCAGAGCCTTCCTAGGGACGGACATGGCCGGAGAGGCTTTGAGACACTGGAAGGCCCAGCCCTGGGATTCAGGGGCCCCTGGGGGAGTTGGTGGGGTCACAGGCTCTGGCCTCACTGGAGAGCTGGGGACGCAGGACCGCACAGAGCAGTGGTCAGGCCGAGCGTTCTCCACCGGGGCCTGCCCACCCGGGCCCCCGGCGGCACCCTCTGTGTCGCAGATCCTCCCCGTGCCCTGCCTCCAGGACACTGAGCCCTGGGCCTGGGGGGCAGGGATGCTGGGCCCGGTGGGCTCGGTCAGCTGCCTGGCAGTAACACCGGGTTCCTAAGGGGCGCCTCTCACGGAGCCATGGACCCCATGGGCACTGAGGGCCAGGAGCCCCACCTTGCAAAACGGCTTTGTCTCCCTGACAGGGTGAGCGGGGCCCTCCCGGCGTGAACGGCACCCAAGGCTTCCAGGGCTGCCCCGGCCAGAGAGGAATAAAGGTACCGTGTGGGGGCCGCCACGTGTGGCAGGGCGGTGGGCCGAGGGGGCATCGGCAGGTGCGGAAGTGGCGGTTCCTCCCCGTGTGTCCCAGGGGAGGATGGAGGGGGGCGCTCTGCTGGAAGGGCGGCCACAGCCTGGGGTCCAGGAGCACAGGCCGTGCTGGGAAAGAAGCCTGAGAGGCAGAAACCGTTTCCTGTGGTATCAGGGGGAGCCTCCGGGAGCCCATCCCCAGGACAGACAGGCGTGGGCCAGGCCAGGGGGGAGGCCAGTGCCCGTGGCTTCAGCCTAGGACCCCGAGAGGAGCCAGGGAGGTGGGGGCACAAGAGGGAGGCAGAGACCGCTGCGCCCGCTGGTCCTCTGCAGCAAATGCTTGGCTTTAAGGGCTGACCAGCTGTCTCCTCTGCTGGCTGAAGTATGAGAGCAGGTGCTGAAGGCAGGGCCACTGCCCTGCCTGTCACGGAGGGACCTTGGAGCCCTGATCCTGGCTTTCGGGCCCTCCCCCCGGAAGCCAAAACCACCCAAGGGCTCAGGCCCAGAAGCATTAGCTTTGTCACCTCCCTGTGATGGTGAGCCAGCAATCCAAACAAGTGCATCTCTAATAGTGAATTCTCAGCCGCCACGGCTTTCAGTGGGGTGTGGGGCAGCCCTGTGCCGCAGCTGAGGGTCTGGCTGCCAGGATGGACATAATGCTCCCCTTTCCCTTCTTTTCCAGGGGTCTCGTGGGTTCCCAGGAGAGAAGGTACTGGGCTTGCTTTTTTTCTCACATTGAAACTTGCGCAGAATTTCTCACTGCTCCTTTGCCTGAAGGACTCCGACACTCACCCCGGTGTCTTGTCCCCTCATAGGGCGAATTAGGGGAAATCGGACTAGACGGTCTGGACGGCGAAGATGTAAGTAAACTGGTGCACTGAGTCCTGGCCACCGCTGTCCCGAAGATTCCGGGACCAGTACTCACTCATCAGCAGCGACTGTGCCAGGAATGACATTTTGTCCTTGTCTTTGGCAGGGAGACAAAGGGTTGCCTGGTCTTTCTGGAGAGGCCGGGAGTCCCGGGAGAAGGGTAGGTGCACGTCCAAGTTCGCTGTGATGGCAAACCTGTCCCCGGTTCCTCTCACTCATGAGTGTTAATGCCGCTTCCTCCAAGCAGCCTTCCCTGACCTCCTCTGGGGGTGCCGCCTGGGTGTCCCCAACGTCTGCGGCAGCTGTGATAGGTGACACTATAGGGTCTTCTTGGATGCTGTGTCCCATAGTGCAGGGACTGAGTTTGTTTTGTTGCAAATAAATTGCGGGGTCTGCACACAGTGGCCCCGGGTAAATATCTGTGGACAGAGCAGAAGTAACTTTATCTTCTCGGTGAGTGAGTAAATGCTCCCCCCCACCCCCGATGTATTTAACGTTCACGAATGGAAGAATGCGATTTTAAGGGTGAGATTAAAAAAATTACAATTCTCTTTAATGTTTAGTCTCCACTTGCATTTTTTTGTTCAGGGTGACAAAGGACCTAGAGGAGATAAGGGGGGAAGAGGCGACGTCGGCATTCGAGGTGACCCGGTAAGGAGACTTCCTCGTGGACGACCTGAGAGCCGAGTCTGTGCGGGGGGAGGGTCGAAAGGGGGAGTTTTACTTTCTATGTGGCTTTGAAGCATGTTGACGAAGTACTTGGTTCATCTGTTTGCGTCGGTTTTGGGGTGGCCGGCCAAGTGTTTGCTGTAGGGATACATGTTTGCAAGCCCCGCCCTATGGGGGCCTGAGACGTTTCTGTAAAGTGTGGTCTCTGGGCACTTTAACCCAGCCGGACGGGGCGGTCAGGAAAAGTGTCCGTGGGGACGTGGACCTGAGGCTCTGTGGCCAGTCCCTCCAGACACACCCCGCGCAGATGACATCCATCCCCTTCACTGCATCTGACCGTGGGGGGCTCAAAAGTCCTTAGCCCCATGGAGGACAGTGCCCGGGCCCCCTCTTGCCTCGTCCTGGCCCAGAGGGCAGGAGGCTGGCCGGGTGACGGTCATTTTCTCGCAGGCTTTGTAGAGCCAGAGGCAAGACACGCTGCAGACGCTCTCCTCTCCCTGAAGCAAACTTCAGTGCTCTCCCCCCTGCCTGCGGGCTCATTTCCCCGACCTGTGTCATTTTCAGGGTGACTCGGGACGAGACAGCCAGCAGCAAGGACTCAAAGGGGAAACCGGGGACATCGGGCCCATGGTAATGGTGCTCCTCGTTCCTGGGCTCCCTGTGTGGGGAGGGCCAGGGAGACAAAACTCGCACCGGCTCGTCCCCAGCCCCGAGGCCGAGGAGGTGACCTCCAAGGCTGTGGACCACAAAGGGTCCCCTGAATCTGAGGACTTATCCCCATTGCAGGAAGTCTCTGCCGGGGAATGGAAACAGCCCTTCCAAGAGGGGCTTCTCCTTGGTGCAATGGGAGCCCCTTAGACATGTTTGGACAGTGCTTCAGAAGCCGAGGCTGGCGTGGGTGGGACTGTGCCCCAGTGGGACCCACCCAGTGGTGCCCGGCTGCCCTGGGTGTCAATCCTACACCCCGAGGTGTTTTGGGCGATGTCACCAGGGTAGGTAGATGTTCTTCTCTGCAGTGGAGAATCTCATGCTGATTTTCTCTCCTGCACCAGGGTCTCCCTGGGAGAGATGGGGTGCCTGGCGGTCCTGGGGAGCCCGGGAAGGACGTGAGTATCTCTGGGGGCTGAGGGGGCTTTGTACCACATTAGTGCCATGGAAATCCAAACACTGCGTGGGACAGAGCTACTCAGCAGTGTCCTGTGTGGGAACTTAGGGGAACTTCTGAGATTGTTGTTGCCCAGATCTCTCTCGATTCTTAGGTCTCCGGTTCTCTTGTTTGCTCTGTGCTCTGTCCTGGGCCTATTTCCTTCCCCTCCCACAAACATGCTGAACCGACGCTCTTCAAAGTCCTGTCTTTACTGCTTCTGAAAATTTGGCCCGGCTTCCCACGAAATATGTAACAAATCCAAGGGAAACGTGACCCCGGGGGGTAGTGAGGCAACCGGGCAGGAAGGCGGATGGGGTCCCAGGTCGTTGCTGGGCTTCTAACTGTGTTGTGTTGTGTGTGTGTGTGCGCTGCCGGGACGCAGGCAATGAAAGTAGAGTCCGTTTTTCTAGGGAACGGCATCTCGCAGGGGCTTCTTCAGACAGTTCAGGAATGTCAGCTGCAGAACAGCTGGCTGCACGCGTGTGTGACCTTTGTGTCCCGTTGAGGAGTTGGCCCCCAGAGCCGAGGGCTTACGGCGGTCCTCTGCGGCCTTCCAGGGCCCGGGGCGCTCGGAGCGTGGCCCGGAGCAGGTGGTCCGTGCCCAGGAAGGAGGGGTCTGGGATTGGCACTCCTCAGGGGCCATTCAGGATGCTGTGGGTGCCCAGGACAGGTCTCTGCTCGGAAACTGGCTGGGGCCGTGCAGCCATTTTCCCCCGTGATCACGACATTTTAAGGGGCGAGCCGCTGGACGGTGGGGAGGCAGGCTGCCGACGTGAGGGCTTTTAGGAGGAAGGACTCTCCTTTGTAGTCAGACGACATGCTGTGGGCATCATTTTTACTATCTGAACATGCCCTCAACAGCTCTGAGCATTATTTTTGATCAGAGCTGCCGTGCTGCCGCAGGAAAAAGCGCCGCGGAGGCACCCGGTTACAGTGGCCGCATCACTCAGTCTGGGCCGGGCCGGACTTGTTTTCATGGGAGGCGGTCGCGCATCGTTCGTTTGGATGCACTGCACGCGTGGGTTTGAATTCGATGCAGCCGGGGGCTCCTGTGGCCTCCGTGGCTTCCTTTGCTACAGGCCCCTGTGGCACTGCACCCCCTTTCCTGGGCCCTCGCTGTGCCTGCTCCCCCTTCCGCTGCGCTCCCCCACCCCCACTTCACCCCTGCAGGGCCCCCACAGGCTGCCTCTGGCCCAGGCACTGAATTGACCAGCGCTGGTGGCCTCTGGCCATACTGAGGCTGTCCCCTTTGGGACAGCTCCACCTGGGAGGGGCCAGACAGAGCGTCACTCTGTGGAGGAATGACCTGGCCCACCTCTGCCCACTAGTCCATGTGTCATCCACGGAAGGAGGCAGCGGTCTTACCTTAAAAGAGCTGCCAGTCAGTGAAACAGCAAAACGGTCGCCCCAGGAGGCCCCTGGGCTGGCCTGTTGGGAGTAAGATGGTGGTCCTTGGGTTGATGCAGCGGTGGGCCGGCCCAGTCACCACTGGCTGTGACCGTCCCCAGGATGCCAGCCCCCAGCCTTGCGGAGATGCACCTGGGACATTCCTTTGACCTTGCCTTTCCCCCTCCCACTGCAGAGGAGGTGGTCCAGTATGGGAGCTCGGAGTGACTTATTGGCCAGCCCCGTGGACAGGGAGGGGGGGTCACCTCTGGAGTGTGGTGGGAGGCGTTGTCCAGATGTGAGCGCAGACCAGGCGCCCTGGATGCTCCCTGGACTGAGGATGTGTTGCCTTTGGCAGCCGGACTCGGAGAGCCCGGGGCCCCTTCCGTTCGGAGGAGCGCGTCTCGTGGCTGCTCCCACCACCCGGGGACGGGAAACGCAGGCGCGGACACCCCCTCCACGCTCCTCCCCAGGAAGGCCGCCTGGGCGGCCAGGAGTCGTTGTTTGGCTTGGCAGGTCGCAGCGCCCTCGCAGCTTCCATCTGGGTGACCGGCGGGGCGCGTGGAGGCAGGAAGGAGGGTGTCTTTTGTGCATGTCCTGGAGGCTGACGGGGCCTGGCACACGGCGGGTGACGGATGAATGTGAGCGTCAGGTCACACGGAGTCCCCTCACTGTGCAACTTCTTCCGCAGGGCGGCTATGGCCGGAGGGGCCCAGTAGGAACTAAGGTAAGCCTCCGAGTGGGCGCCTCTCGCCTGTCATTGCAGCGTGACTCCTGGTGGGCGCTCAGGGCCTGTCCTGTGCCCACCGCCCGCAGGCAGAGACCTCCTCTCTCCTTTGCCCTCCAGGCTGGTAGCTCAGTCAGCAGCTTCCACCTTTCCCATCTCCTTCACCTTAGCCCCTTCTAACAGACTTGTGGCAACGATTAACCGTGGGGACAGGGCAGGGGGGGTGAAGGGAAAAAGATGGAGGTGGCAGTTCCAGGCACCCCTTGCCCACAATGTGCCTGCTTCCCTGGTCATTAGCGAGTCACAGTGTCTCGGGCTTCTCGCCCGTGAAGTGTGGGTCCCCAGATGTCCCATTTCCCAAAGCCGCAGTGAGGAGAGGGGAGGCCAGTGTGGGAGAGGATTGTAACAGTGCACAGTGACAGCTGGCGTCAGGTGTGAGGTGTGTCACCTGGGGCTGCCGGGTCAGCGGCCTCCAACCCCCTCGTAGGGCTGGGTTGCTGCCCGGTCCCCCTGTCCGGCGTGACCGTGGAGCAGAGAGCCGACGCTGGCGTGAACCACCCTGACCCCTCCCTGCCTCTCCCCCCTTCTTCCTAGGGCAACAGAGGCGATCCCGGCCAGGCGGGCTCCCCGGGGGATCAGGGGACCAGAGGTGCACAGGTCAGTGCCCAGCGAGCTTCCTGCTGCCTCCCAGAGGCTGTTGTATGTTTTAAACGAAGGTGACCACCCACTTCACAAAATGGAGTGCAGGACGCTTCATTTCCGGTGAACGACGCGGGGGCGTTTTGTACCTTCCCAGTGTCTACGGCCGTCCCCTCAGTCTAGTTTCAAAACGTTCTCGCGATCCTCAGGGGAGACCCTATGCCTGTGATGTCCCCACCCCCAGCTCCTGGGAACACTCTCTCCTTCCTCCGCTTATGGATTTGCCTCGTTCTGGACATTTCGCAGAAACGGGGTCATTCAGTAGGTGGTCTTCTGGTTCCGGCCCCCTCCCTTCATGTCATGTTTCTGAGGTGCACCACGTTGTAGAATGAGGCCGGGCACCTCTCCTTTTCATGGCTGAGTAATATTCCACTGCAGGGTGGGCCCTAGCTCCCGACCTGCTCATTGGCGGGTCGACACTTGGGAGGTTCCTGCCTTTTGGAGGTTGTGACCATCGCTGCTGGGGACATTGCAGACACATGGGCGTCTTTTAAAAGTGACTTCCTCTCCATGATCTGGGCGGGGCTGCCGTCCCCCTGGCGGACACAGGCGTGTGGTCCCGGGGGCCCCTTTGGCAGCTTGCGGGAGGCCCTGGGCTCGGCGAAGGCGCAGGTGTCATTGTGGGCTTCCTCCTGGAGCGCGGCCTCAACACCGCACTGACCCGAACCTCTCCCCTCAGGGTGTAGCCGGCCCCACGGGTCCCCCGGGCCAGATCGGCGAGCAAGGCATTCCCGGATCCCGGGTGAGTTCCCTCTTCCCACCCCTCTGCGTGGCTATGCTGGCAGCACAGGCCCGAGTGGGCTGAGTGAGACCTGCGGTGGGTGTCGCCGAGGACCCACCTTCCCTTAGCCCGACTCTTCGGTGACACTGACACTGGGTCGGACTCAGTCCCCACGGCCACTTGTGTGAGGACACGAGAGCCCTTCTCGGGGCTCCAGCGGCCTCTAGGGCAGGGCCGTTCCTTCCCAGCACCTGCCCCTGGGCTCTGCTCAGGCCGGACGGACAGGCCTCATCTCTGAGGCCTCCGCGTGGGGCGGAGTGAACCACAGGTCTTCTGAAAGTCTCAGGTGGTGACGGATTGTTTCACAATCACCCCCTGGGGGTCGGCTCTGAGGCTCCATAGTTTGTGTAAGGAGATTCCTGTCCTCACGGTCACACGGAAGATGGCCCTTAAAACTGCTGTGACTGCAGAATTCCACAGCTCTCAGTTGTGAGTGACGGGGGGGGCAGACCTGTGTCCCGCACCCCTGCTGGCCCTTGTGTGCGATGGGACCATGTGTGGCCCATCCTACACTTGTTTCAGAAAGTGACAAGGACTAGCACCTGGCAGGAGACTGGCCCGCTGCCACCTAACGGCAGAAACAGGCTTCATGGTGGCAGCGGGGACCCGCTGAGAGCCTTGGTTCATTTGGAAAGTCCTCCCCCAGCTGGAAATCTGGTCAAGACCTGTTCTGAAAGCTTTTGTCTTCCCCCAATATTTCATTCAGCTCCAAGAATTTAAGGTGGAGCAGGGGGGAGGCAGAGCCGCCACCTGGCCTCTCCCCTGTTTCGGGGCTCGTTCCTGGGCCTCACAGGTGGAACCGTGTGTGGGAACCCGGGTTCCCTCGCTCACCTAGTGGGGCACAGCACACCGGTCCCCACACCTGCATGGCCAGGTCTCACTGTGCAGGTGTGGACAAGACCCACCTGAAATCTGGGTGTTGTCCTCTGGTTAGGGGCTCAGGGTAGGGAGGGACGCTGGGAACTGCATTGTGCAGCGTCTGTATGCGGTGTCTAAGTGCGGTGTCTAAGTGCAGCGGCCTGAGCGTCACGCCAGGGCTTGGGGTCGTACAGGCCACACGTTTGCCTTGGGGGTGCCACACAGGACTCCGAGCCCTTCCGCCCCGCTACCACCTCGGGGACGTGGAGGGGAAGCGGGGGACAGACACAGAGGCCCAGAGGGTGGACACGCCATCACTGACGCTGCTTTCCTCTCGTCCCAGGGGAGCGGAGGCCCGCCCGGTGCTCCCGGAGAACGAGGCAGAAACGGTCCCCTGGGAAAAAAGGTTGGTTTTGACGGAGCAGGAGCCTGCCCGGTCCCTGAGGCCAGGCCGTGGCCGCCCCCGGGTGGCCTCTCCCGCATTCACTGGCCTGCCCACGTGCTTCGCTGGCACATCCCTCCGCCTCCCCTCTGGCCGGCGGGATCCCCGTCCCCGTCTGGGGGAATACACGGCTGGTGCTCAGAGGCCTGCTTTCTCGAGGCCAGGCCCTGGTGGCAGCCGTGGCTCGTCTGATCTGCTCACGCCGTGGCACGTGACCACGGTTCCATGTCCTCACGTCTGTTCGAGCAGAGCGGGGGCTCCTAGTGTGACATCAGCATCACACTGAACACGCTGCGTTTGAACACCGGCCGTGCACACGGCTGCCTTGCTGGCCACACTTAGCTAACCGCCCCCCGACCCCGACTGTTTGGACGCCAGCAACTTGTCATACAAAGGTCCCCTGACGGCCTGCTGTCGATAAACCCTGAGAAGACCCGCAGTTCACCCAGCCTGTCTGAAAGGCCAGTGCTTTCTCAGTGAGAGGGATGTGTTCCCGGGAATCCAGAATTTTCTCTGGGGGTGGGCTTTCCTGCTGAATTCAGTGCCCCCCCGACTCTCTCAGCTTCTTTCCTGCCCCCCCTCCCCCCTCAGCGCGCTCACATGCCACGTTCATGAAAAGAACACACGCCAGCTCCCCCACCCCCACCCCCGGCTTCTCTGCCAGGGCTCCATGCAGGAACTTGGTTTGAAGAAATCTTTTTTATCAAAATCCAAACGGTGACGTTGGCGGTGGCGTCACTGAGAACGATAGGGCTTGGAGTCACGTGTCAACCGGCCTCGAGCCTCAGGTGTCTCCGCCTTGTTTCCTGTGTGCAGGGCGAGCCCGGAGAGCCAGGGCCGAAGGGAGGACTCGGGAGCCCGGGGCCCCGCGGGGAGACGGTAAGGCCAGCACGCGTCTCCGCCTCTCCGCTGAAATGTTCGGGAGGGGGGAGCGGGGTGGGGCCTGGCGCCGGGCCAGCTTTCTCATCGCAGTTGAGGTTTGCCGAGGACTTACCATCTCTTTGCCTGTCGTTGGGGACGTGATTGAAAATAGGGAAACCTGCCACCTGTGACCCGCAAATAAATGTCACGATAAGTCCCGAGTCATGGCGGGGGCGGGTAGTGGGTAAAGGCTTCTGTGGGTAAAGGCTTCTGTGTTTCGGGGGCGTGGGAGCGTGCTGGCCCATGAAGCCGGAACCGGGTTGTGTTCCGATCTACGAGGTCGGGGTGGACGTGATGGTGCCGAGCTTTTCGGCAGAGAGACGGGGTCGGGTTTGACGAGCTCTCAGTCCAGGTAGAAACCATGTCCTGGGGAGACGTCCCAGGAATAGAAACGATGACCTTGATAACCTGCGTTTTAAAAACTCTGTTGTTTAAAGTAATCTAACTGCTCACTAACAATAACCTTGTAGGATCTATTCCTACATAAGGGAAAGAAATCTACGAAACATTGGGGATTTTTAAAAAATAAATCAGGATACCTAAAAACTATAGAAATTGACCAGCTTGATCGGACTTATGACCCCGGAACTTTAAAATATTTTTCTTGTGTGTGTAACTTCTCTACAGTTAAAACTGAAGTTTAAAAACACCCATTTCTGTTACTCTCAGTTTACTCTCCAGAAGCAGAGGGAAAAAGCACCAAAGCGTACGATTCTGTTTCCATAACACGGGGGCAATGGCTCTTTTGCTGTTGACGTCCACTTAAATTTGTAAATGAAAAAGTAGCGGGTTGTATGTTCTGGAAATATTAATGTATATTTCACATAAACTCTTCTACTTCTTTTGAAGTAACCGTGTCCCATTCTGAAAGCCCCCATGAGGAAGGGACAGGACAGATCTGAGCGTCCCGGGGGGTTGTGTTTGGAAAGAGGGCAGCCTGGGCTGGGAGGTAGGGACAGGACGAGGGGAGGGGCGTCTGAGCTCAGATCACTCAGGGCAGCGTGAGACTGAGTCTGTGTTTCTGCTCTGAAGTGGAATCGAAGACTCACAGGTGCACAGGCAAGCCGACCTTCACGGGTCCTCTGACCCCTTAGATTCCCAGGGTCAGTGAGTCCCTGATCCCAGCACCATCTGTACCGACAGCTGGGGCAGGTCTTCAGATTCGCGGTTGCCAGCACCTTGGCCGAAGGGCCTTTCCGGGCCACCCTCTGACGGACTTGTTGGGGGTGGGGGAGGGACGGGACTCTCCCCGGAGCTGTACCTGGATCTGGGGACGTTTCAGGGACTCCAGGACCCTCTGCCCAGGGCTTTAGGCAGAGGTGGGCGTGGCGTGCCCAGCACGGCGGCCTGCAGTGACACTGTTTTTCCACAACCAGGGGGAGGATGGCCGAGATGGGATCGGCGGTGAAGGGCGCAAAGGCAAAAAAGTATGTACTTCTAACAGGTGGTATTTTTACACAATCGTTCGCGGCGTTTTATTGTTATCATATAACTTTTCTGTAGATAGATATGTTTTTTTCTGCTCAAGAATAGTTTATTTCAGATGAATTTAAATTGAGAGCAAACGTGAGTCATTTATTTTGCCTTGCAGGGAGAAAGAGGGTTTCCCGGATACCCAGGCCCGAAGGTAAGGCGTTCCCCTGGTGGGAAGCCCCCCCCCCCCCGCTCTCTGAGGATGCATCTGTGTGTCCACGGGCCACAGATAGAACGTCCTGGCCTTCCTCCTGGGTCAGACACTTGCAAACCAAGTGGCCTTGGTAGGTCCCCAGCCCTCACTCTCCCTGGAACACTCCCCCATCTCTCCAATGGAGATGACAGCGTGCACTTGTCACGGGGCTTGTGGGGACTAAGCGCAGTGGCCCTGAGACAGAGCCCTTTGCCGGCCTTGCAACGCCGCAGCTGCGTAAGGCCGTCCTCCCCGGCTCAGTGAGCTGGGGCTGCCCCTGCCAGAGACGCCCACGCGGTAGCCACCCAGTGGGAAGGCAGATCGGAGTGAGCCGCTTGGCTGCCCCGGGAAGTGTGGTTCAGGAGCCCCAGGGACCCTCGGCTGGACGTCCTGTTCCAGACCTTCATGTGCCATTTGCCGGGTCTCCTCCAGGGTTTCCCCGGCGAACCAGGAACAGGGGGACCACCGGGACCCAAAGGCATCCGGGGCCGAAGGGTAAGCGAGCCAGTGCCGGGGCTGCGGTGGGAATGAGGACCTGTGGGACGGGGGTGGTCGACCTGGACGCCTCCCCTGCTCAGATTGGGCTTCTCCCACTGACGGCGAAGCCACAGGAGTTTCACGGGCCGTGTGCCTGCTTATGAGGGTCCCGGGCTGGAAGGCCTGCCAGGCCGAAACCACCTGCTCCAGCCCCGCCCGTCCCACCCGCCAGGACTCCTCTTCCTGTCGCTGCTCAGGGTCTTGCACCCTCTTCGGGGGATGTTCACACATCGTTTTAAGATGGTGCTGAGTCTTGAATTAGCAAGTGGTGGTTTGGATGAGCCTAACGGTCTGTAATGGTTATTTTGAGCTTAAACTGTGGTTCAGCTCACGGTGATTGTCCTGTTGCTTTGCTCAATGAAGACAGATTAGATCAGTGCGGGGTTTGAGAGCTTTGGGCGGGTCGTCTATGCCAAACCTCGGTCTCACCGGTGGTCGGTTACTGATTTCCTGGGCCCTCATGGACGGCCTCCGCAGTGGGTCTCAGGCGAGCACCTGTCCCCCCGTGACCTGCCAGAGAGCGCGCTGCGGGGAGACACCCATCAGTTCTGTGAAAGTCTCGTGTCCATGCGTTTGAGCTTGGAGATGCCAGGATCCCTGAAAGGGAGGGCTTTTTGGCGGGAATGGGGGCTGTCACATCGGCTCACCGTCACCGCCCTTCCCACCCATGGCGGTTCTGATTCCCCTTCTTCTGCCACAGTCGAGTGATGCTGGTTCTGCCCCTTGCAGGGAAATTCGGGACCTCCAGGGGCGATTGGACAGAAGGGAGACCCCGGTTACCCAGGACCGTCTGTGAGTACCCACCCCCTCCGGTCGAGCCGCCCGCAGGCTGGGTGCTGCACAGGTCCCTGAAAACTTTCCACTGTCCCCTGCCCAGAACCACGGTGGCGGCATTCTTGCTGTTACCGTTGTTTGTTTGTTCGTTTAACCACCTTCCTCCCGATGCCACCGCAGAGGAGAGGGCTTTACTGCGTGCGGCGTCCCGCGTCTGGGGCAGGTTGCAACTCGCCTCTGAACTTCCCGGTGCCGTTCTTCGTTTGAGGCTTGGTCGGAGAGCAAACTAAAGAGAACACATTGAACCGCCTCTCAGTGGCACCTTGTGAGAAGGCTCCAATCATGTCAGACCCTGGTTTGGGGAAATGCTTCCTTTGGTCTGTAAACCACCCCTCCCCCCCGCCCCAAACAAGCTCCGGATTCAAGGTCAGCACCTACTTGTTACCCGCTGGCTCCTGGGAGCCAGGAGGGTGCCCCTCTGTGGCCCCTGCCATGACTCACCTCTGTTTCCTGGCTGGAATTTCTCCCTGTGCTGTCTCCCTACCTTGAAACCAATGAGGTTCACGGCAGGATGAGAACTTACTGACAGGAAGTCACACCTAAAAAGGGGTGACGAGACTAGAGGGGGTGGGTCTGTCTGGTGTCCAAACACCGAGGTGTTCGATGGGAGATCCATTTGCCGGTGCCTGGTGGGGTGGGCGGGCGGGAGCAGCCGTACGGAAAGACCCCTGTTGGAGTCCACACCTCCTGGGTGAGCTGCCGAGGGCGGATGAGGTTCCCCCCCCCAGCAGAGTCCTCGGGGATCCTTCTGCCCTGGGGTGATGGGCAGTTAGATGCCTTCACACTGCCCTCCTGGGAACGGGGGGTTTGAACTAGCGGACGTGAGGAGAGAGTCGTGTGGGGTGCGGGCTCAGGTGTGAGGTCTCTGTGGGCTGGTTAGTGAGGAGCACCCCGGGTTTCGGGGCTGGAGCTGCTCCCCTTGGAGTCCTGTTTTGTCCCAAAAGTCGCTTTCCTCTGCTTTTTGAGCAAAGTCAAATTTATAAGAAGAGTCTGAACCTGAACCTGACCCAGGCTGGCCGAGGTCCACCCCGGCTTCCTCCGTCTCCTCTTTGCGGGCCGAGGCCTGTCCCTGGCACCAGCATCGTGCTTCTCAGCCTCTCCTTCCTTGTTTTTCAGGGTCCCAGAGGCGACAGAGGCGACTCGATCGAAGTAAGTTGGGCGCGCGCAGCACGAATCGCCGTCCGCGGGCCTGTGTCCGCCGCCCTCAAACCTTCTTCCTTTCCTTTCACAGAAATGCGCCCTGGTCCAGAGCATCAAGGACAAATGCCGTGAGTGCACGACTCTCCCTGTCTGCGACCCCCTTTGCATTTACTCGGGGTGGGGTGGCCCGTGGTGGCCGCGACTGACCCTCTTGTCTGTTTCCTTTCTAGCCTGCTGCTACGGTGAGTCGGCTCAGCCGAGTGGCTCCCCCCGAGGACAGAAGACCCCCTTTCCGTGAGTAAAGTCTGTCTCTGAACCCCCACTTCCCAGGGCCCCTGGAGTGCCCCGTCTTCCCGACCGAGCTGGCCTTCGCTCTGGACACCTCGGAGGGGGTCACCCAGGACGCGTTCAGCCGGATGCGGGACGTGCTGCTGCGGACGGTCGGCGACCTGACCATCGCGGAGAGCAACTGCCCGCGGGGGGCGCGCGTGGCCGTGGTCACCTACAACAACGAGGTGACCACGGAGATCCGCTTCGCGGACTCCAGGAAGAAGGCCGTCCTCCTGGACCGGATCAAGAACCTCCAGGTGGCCCTGACCTCCAAGCAGCAGAGCCTGGAGGCCGCCATGCTGTTCGTGGCCAGAAACACGTTTAAGCGCGTGAGGAACGGGTTCCTGATGAGGAAGGTGGCCGTCTTCTTCAGCAACAAGCCCACGAGGGCGTCCCCGCAGCTCAGCGAGGCAGTGCTGAAGCTGTGGGACGCGGGCATCACGCCGCTGGTCCTCACCAGCCAGGAGGACCGTCAGCTGGCCAGCGCCCTGCAGGTCTGTGCCCGGGGCTCTGGGGAGGTTCTTGGGCACCGCCGCACCCCCAGGGTGTCTCTGGGCCCCTGGTTCTAGAAGGCTCTGGAGGGGTCTGGTCTGGCCGAGAACTTCTCCCCTGGGGTTTTCCAGGGCAGCCTCTGGCTCTGGCCCCAGATCCAAGGTCCCGGGTCCCGGGCTGGAGGAGGGTCTCCCCTGGTGAACGGGGGGTCTGCTGCCTCCTAGCGAGGTCCCCAGACACCTGCGACTCCGGGCCCCCAGTGTGCACCTGCCCTGCTCACACCTGTCCTCGGCCAGGCTGGCACCAGGGTCAGCCTGGGACGCAGACAAGAGCTCCCTTCTTGTCCCCGAACTGCCTTTAGCCTTTCATTGTTGTACTCAATCGACCCCTATTCACGCGGCGAGGACTCTGGGCTCTCTGCTGGAGGGGAGTGGGTGGCTGCAGGGAGGGGGGGCTGGGACAGAGGCGGGGCCTGGGCTCGCTGTCCCTCCCTGGCCACCTGCCACCCGGCTGTGCGTGTCACTCACTGCCCTCTCCGTGTCTCAGATTTCTCACCTGTGAAAGGCGGGGTAGGGACAGGCTCCACGCTTCTCCTTCCAAACTGGACACTCTGTGTCCAGGCTCATAGAGTCTCCCCTGCCTGACCGCCGGCAGGCAGAGCGCAGAGCCCTGGGCTTGGGGGTCCCTTGTGGGTCCCTGGCCGTGTGTGTGGTCAGGGGCGCAGTGTGTGGGCTGAGTGACCCAGACCCGCCTGTGTGTCTTACCGGCGATAGTTTCAGCAAGTTTGGAACATTAATTATTCATTAATTGAATTTAATTACTCACTAAATGAATAATTTGCCAGGGTGTGCTATGATGGGGGTGTTGAATCTTCTGGAGGTGATTCAGTGGCTGTTTTTGTCATTGCGTCCCTTTGTAGACCCGGGAGGGAGAGAAAGGGACACACTGACATTCGCCATCGACATTTAGTGCTGAAAATAATGACATTATTTAAGCCTGCTCTCTGATAGAGGCTGCAGAAGGCACTTGGCGTGTGTTACCCAACTTAATCCTTCACACAACTCTGTGCAGAATTCGCCGTTAGCCCATTTCACAGCTGAGGAAGCTGAGCCCGGGAGAGGTGGAGTAGCTGTGGTTGGGGTCCAGCAGGAAGGACGGGGCTGGGATTCGAACTCGAGCTCACCTCCGTAGAAGAAAGCCCGCGCTTTCCTGCTCAGCTCAGCGCCGCCTCTCTCTTTGGGGGCCTGGGCTCTGAAAAACGAGGGGCTGCTGCTCCACTGGGCAGTCTGTGTCCTCGGCTGGAGTTTGTGAGTGGCTGCTGGTCACGATCGTGTCCTTTTGTTGGAACAGGTCAACGACACCAAGGTGGGGCACGTGCTCGTCCTGCCCGCCAGGGGAGACCTCACGAGCTTCCTCAGGAACGTCCTGACCTGCCACATCTGCCTGGGTAAGGCCCGCCCGCACCCCCGCCTCTGCGCAGCGGCAGCCGGAACCTCCCGTCCACAGGTGGACCTGTGCTCGGGCAGGCGCCATCTGCGTGTGGGGCTCACGTGAAACGATGCTCGGTGCCTGGGTGTGGAGGCCGCACAGTAGTTCACACGCTCAACGTAGAGCCTCCAAACAGAATTTCTCTTGGGCGGGGAATGAGTGGTTTACAGGGAATAGAGGGGAAGTAGACTCTGCTTATGTTTTGACTTTGGAGCCCAGATGTTAATGATCTGGCTTTGGGACTTTCTAGAAAACCGTTCTTCAAAGGACGGCAGAGAAGTAAGGCCCCCTCCCCTCCCCCCCCCTCCCCTCCCCTCCCTCCCTCCCCTCTCCCCCCCCCCCCCCCTCCCTCCCTCCCCTCCCTTCCCTCCCCTCCCCTCCCCTCCCCTCCCCTCCCCTCCTTCCCCTTCCTCCTATCTGACACCAGTGCCCCAGCATATGGACACACTTGGGCTCACTGACTTGTCTATATAGTCAGCTTTCTGTGATGAAACTGAAGCTTGGCCGCCGTAAACAGGGTTCCGAGCTCCCTGGCAGCCTGGGCGGCCCAGGCTCCCGCAGATCAGGGCGTGTGTCTCGCTGTGTGGGCCGCAGTGTGGACCAGCTGCCGTTCCTCCCCCTAGACATCTGCAACATTGACCCGTCCTGCAACCTGGGCAGCTGGAGGCCCGTCTTCAGGGACAGGCGCGCGGCGGGCGGCGACGTGGACATGGACCTGGCCTTCCTTGTGGACAGCTCCGAGTCCACCTCCCTGCTGCAGTTCGACGAGATGAAGAAGTACATTGGGCACTTGGTGCGACAGCTGGACCTGAGCCCAGACCCCAGGGCCTCGCAGCACTTTGCCAGGGTGGCCGTGGTGCAGCACGCGGCCCACGAGTCCGCGGGCAATGCCAGCGCGGCGCCTGTGAAGGTGGAGGTCTCCCTGACTGACTACGGCTCCAAGGACAAGCTGCTGGATGCCCTGGGCTCCCGGATGGCGCAGCTGCAGGGGACCCGGGCCCTGGGCCGCGCCATCGACTATACCGTAGAGCATGTCTTCGAGCGCGCGCCCAACCCCCGGGACCTGAAAGTCCTGGTGCTCATGCTGACGGGCGAGGTGCAGGGGCAGCAGCTGCGGGAGGTCCAGACGGCCATCCTGCGGGCCAAGTGCAAGGGCTACTTCTTCGTGATCCTGGGCATCGGCAGGAAGCTCAATGTCAAGGAGGTGTACAGCTTCGCCAGCGAGCCGAACGACGTCTTCTTCAAACTGGTGGATAAGCCCACCGAGCTCAACGAGGAGCCCCTGCTCCGCTTTGGGAGGCTGCTGCCGTCCTTCGTCAGCGGTGAGTCCTGTGTCAGGCCTTGGGGCTCCCCGGCCCGGCTTCCTGCCGGCCCGCACCCTCGGGCTCTTGGGAGTGGGGGTGCACACATGGGAAAGGTGACCAGTGTGCAGACGCTAACTTGTTCACGCATTGAACAGGTGGGTGGTGACACCCACCAGGCCCCAGCACGCTTTCAGCTCCGGGGGTGGCAGTGGAGGCAGACGGGGACCCTGTCCTGTTCACTTTTGTATTCAACCAAGTTCGTCCTCAGCGTGTAGACAGGGACCCTGAGAATGGACAGTCTAGGTGGGCAGACGGGTCAGGCATGATGGAATGTGATGGCAGGTCACAGAGAAGTGTGTTCTGATGGGGCACGGTGGAAGCTTCTAGAAGGAGTGGCATGGATCTGGGCTGAGCCGCCAGCCCCACACCTGGAAACCTCCGGTCTGTGCTGGCGCGGCTCCCCAGCCTGCTCTCCACTTCTGCTGTGGCAGCGAAGCCACGTTCATTTTCCACACCCACCTGCGGTCCCCCCGCCTACCCTGGGTGCTTCCCGTTCCCGAGGCTGGCCCGTCGTTAATCTGGTTGCCACACTGACTGCATCTATTACGTGGCCTGTGCATCCGTGGTCTGTGGGCCCAGTGGGCTGCGTGGTCCTAGAGAAAGTGTGTCACTCACCACCGTGTCCCCGAGCCGGAGTTGTCATGTTAGGACTAACAGAGGAGAGAGGCGTACGAAGCGTGGATAAGCCTGCACAGACGGGGAGGTTCTCATTCCAGGGAAGGTCGGGGCCGTACCGACGGTCCTCCCACTGGGAAGCCTGGGCCCCGAAAGTTTCAGGAAGGAGACGGGTTGCCTCACCCGGGGGCCACCGTCCCTGCCTTCAGAAGACCTGCTCTGTGAAACGCAGCGCTGAGAGAGCATGGAAGGTGACCCGCTACAGCCCGTGCCCAAGGGCTTGGGTCTTGTGAAACTCAGCACCCGAGTTTTCTTGGGCCCTGTGTTCTCGCCCACACCAAGTGAACATTATCTTTAACCGAAATGTTGCCAAATAGGAGATATTGGTACTTAATGTTTAAACTTGGCAGACTTAGCTTTTGTGTAAGAGTTCATTAATTCTTTAACAAATATTTATGGACTACCTTCTGTGTGGTTCATTTAATTTATTAGCAGATTAGTTTTAATTTGCAAGAGATTCACATACATTTAAACACATATATTTTTTCTATTTCTTCCTAGGTGAAAACGCTTTTTACTTGTCTCCAGATATCAAGAAACAGTGTGATTGGTTGCAAGGGGACCAGCCGGCAAAGAATCATGTGAAATTTGGTCACAGACGAGTGTGAGTGATTGTAACAACTGTCCCACAGAGTCCAGGATAGGAGGGGACGCAGAGAACCTCCAGGGCCTGAGCTTGGGGGGTGAGGCCTGGAAGAGCAGAACACATGCTTCCCCAGGGTCTCGTGAGACCTGTCGGATCCGTTGACTTTCTGCTGCGTCACAGGCCACCCCAGACGGTAGTGCTCAGAGCCACTATCCGTCCTGTCTGCAACTCTGTGGGTCAGCCTTCGTGCCCGGGGTCCTCCGGCCCCCACGGGGCTCAGGTCTGTTTGAGGCTGGATGGTCATCCGCTGTAGGCTGGTGGTCCAGGGTGGTGTCAGCTTGAGGCTCGTCTCTGCCCCACGTGGTCCCTCGCCCTCCGGTAGGTGAGCCTGGCTGTGCCCCAGGCGCCGGGCTCCCTGAGACGAGGCAGGTGTAGGTGCAAGGCCTCTTGGGGCCTAGGCCAGGGCCAGCGCTTCGTGACCTCTGCCCTGTCCTGTCGGTCAAAGCGTGTCCCAAGGCCAGCCTAGCTAGAGTCCAGGAACGGTGGGCAAACTTGTCACGTCACGGGTAGGGCATGGGGACAGAGAGGGTGGGCAGCCAGGGCCCTGTGTCCAAGCAGTCTGCCGTCTCTGGTGTGAAATGATTTCATAAAGAAGGATTGGGCGACTTCAGCAGGAAATGGACCCCGATCTTCCTAAAATAAGTGATTCTGTGGTCACACAGCTGACGGTGGAAGAATGTGGGGCCACCTGCCTGCTTGTGAGGGGCATTTGTGAGAGGGCGGGGCTGGCCACCTGGCATCTGCTCAGTGACCGTGTGCCCAGCTGCACCTGTGGGGAGAGCAGTGAGGCCAGGCGAGGGGGCGTGAACCAAGTTCACGGCAGGAACCGAGTGTGTGCCATGCCTGGGGGAGGTGGGGCCTGGCGGCGGCCCGTAGACGTAGTGTGGGTGTGAATTATCCCTGACAAGTGAGCGTCTGGCAAACTCCTGGTGGACCTCTAGGGCCGGGGAGGAGCCCCTCTCTTCCGCCTACACCCCTTCTCTCCATTCCCCCCAAAGCCCTTCAGCGAGGGCCTTTGTTCCCAGGGGCAACGCTTCCCGTCTCAGCCTCGCCGGCCGAGGACCATTATAAGGGACGCTGGCCCGGTAGATCTTGGTCCACAGCTTCTCTTCCCTCGTCTTGAGTTCTTTTTGGAATCCCTCTAGAACATTCCCCAGAGATGGCGCCCCCAGGTCTAGGAAAGCAGGAGGAGCAGAGCTCGTACTTGAGTCTGTAGCATAGCGACTTGAGGGCACACTGTGTGCAGCGCCTGGCGTCACGCAGCCACAAAGGGGTGAACGTGCATGTGAGGGCATGGACTGAGGGTGGGTCTGTGCCACCATATAGACACTGTGGGGAAAACCCTGAAACCAAACCACACGAAAAAGATTGAGCACAGACCAAAGCTCCCGGGAGCCCCGGAGGGAAGGTGCAGCCCAGCGCGGCTTTGCGCGGCCTGGGCCCCTGCTCTCGGGAGAGTGGTCATCCACCGAGCACTGTGGTCCAGATGAGAACCCTCGTCCCGGTTATTTCAGCACTCGTGTCTCTGCGGTATCTCTGCTTCTGTTCTGTGAATTGGAGGGCAGACGTCAGAGGCACTTACGGAGCCTCATTTCTAGCGACCCCACCGCTGTGCGTGCTTCCTGCCGTGCCTTGCCCTGTGCAGGGCAGGGAAGCTGCCGCGTGCGTTTTGCTAAGACGGCAGATTCCGCGAGCACGTCAGACCCTGTGTTTGCCCGTTGGAGACGGCAGGCAAAAATATGGAGAGTTGAAGCAATACTTCATTTGTTTTAACAGAAATGCTCCGAGTAACGTTACTTCGAGTCCTGTGTCCAAACCCGTGGTCACCGCCAAGCCAGCGGCCGCCCTGGAACAGGCGCCCAGCACCCCCAAACCCGTGGCTGTGGTGCACCTGCCGGCCTCTAAGCCGGCTGCCTCCAGACCCGGGCCTGGGAGACCTGCTGCCGCCAAGCCCGAGGCCACAAAGGTGGCCACAGTCAAACCCGCCGTGGCTGTGAAGCAGGTGTCAGCAGTGAAGCCAGCGGCTGCAAGACCCCCCACCGCTGCCAAACCAGTCGCCACCAAGCCCGAGGCCCCCAAGTCCCCAGCAGCCAGACCAGCTGCCACCAAGCCAGCCACTGCGAAGCCCGTGGGTAAGAAAGTGGCAGTTGGGGCTGCTGCCTTGTGACGTCCTTGTTCGCTGTGGCCCGGGTGTGTCCCTCCAAGCCTGTCTGCAAAGCAGCAGCGATAGGCGCTGATCTGGGGTTATGCCCCTGGATGGTTCAGAGCAGGGACTTGTGAAAGCATCGCGCTTTTCCTGTGTGAGGAAGGAAGCGATCTTCCTCTTCCCCATGTGAGACCGACGAGCCCCGGGCGAAGGGCAGGCGGAAGGGCTGTCTCCTCCCCGGCTCCCCACGGAGCCCCACACCCTCATTCCCTCTGGGACTCCCACAGGTGGCACGGCCCTTCTCTCTTGGAGACCTAGCGTCTTGAGAGAAAGGGACCTAAGTAGAAGCAGGGTTTCAGCCCCCCTGGAGGCAGGGAGAGGGGGAGAAAAAGCTCCTTGCCGTCGCATCCCAGGCTGCAGGCCGCGCCCGGCTCCTGGAGCCCGACCTGCCTCTCTCAGAGCGTGACAGCAGACTGTCTGATCTGTCTGGAGCCTTGCACCACAAATAGCCTTTGTCCTGCTGGACACGCAGGGAAAAGAGGTGCCCAGGCTGCCCGCTCCGGCGGTGCCTGGCATCTAGTCCCCACCTGCTGGTCTGCATGCTGGCCCCGTCTGTGGGGAAGACAGGCTCCGGACGGAGTTAGATCCGGGGCTGGGTGGGCTCAGTGAGACCCTGGGTGCCTTACTGTAGATTTTCCTCAAAGGAGATGCCAGGAGACACTGCAGAGTGTTGCCAGCTGTCCTGGACGGTGAAGGTGGACATTCCTTTAAAAGAATTTTGTGCGACACCCTGAAGTTTCACGATGTAATATATTTTAAGCCACAGGTGGCAAGCACAAGGCCCACAGGCCAAATCCGGCCTCCACCTTGTTTTATCCGGCCTGGCACCTTGTTTCTACCCGGCAGCAGCACTGAGCTCCTTGCCCCTGGTTAAGGAGCACTTACACGTATCCAGTCCTAAGGTTACACTCAGCCCTTGGAAGGCAGCTGCGAGGCTGACGTGGCCCCCGGTGAACAGGAGTCTGACAGCCTGTTCCAAGTCATGGGGCTCATCCCGTATCGGCCGCCTCCTGGCGGACGAGCACCCCGGCCGTGCGTTTTCCTCTCTAAGTGTCCCCTCAATGAGGGGGATTTTTGAAGGGACCGGGGCAGCTGCGGGCCTTGGCGATGGGTCTCGGGCCTTCTCATCACTGCGACTCAGTTCCGTCCACGTCCGTAGGTTAGACCGGCATTTCCCGGGAACTTGAACAGGAAGTCGGTTCCCTGCCTCCCCCCGATTATTCCTCATCTGTCACACACGCCTCTCGGCGTCCCCTCTCGCCTGCGTGTCTTGGTCACGTGGGGCTTTGTTGGTGACCCGCACTGTGCTTTGATCTCCGTCCCAGTCAAGGCCCCCCGAGAGGTGCAGGTGTCCGAGGTCACCGAGAGCAGCGCCAGGCTCCACTGGGAGAGGCCGGAGCCGCCCAGCCCCTACTCCTACGACCTCACCGTCACCTCGGCCCACGACCAGTCCCTGGTTCTGAAGCAGAACCTCACGGCCACCGACCGCGTCGTTGGGGGCCTGCGCGCCGGGCAGACGTACCACGTGACGGTGGTCTGCTACCTGAGGTCTCAGGTCCGGGCCGTCTACCGAGGAAGTTTCAGTACAAGTGAGTACATGGCCTGGTTAAGAAAGGTCGGTCCTGACTTCTATGTGGAATATTGACAGGACATAGAACAATTCATCATCTTCATCATCGTTATTAATTCTCACCCAAGGACGTGCTTATTGATTTTAGAGAGAGTGGGAAGGAGGGAGAGAGAGGGAGAGCAACACCGATGTGAGAGAGGAAAATAACCGAACCCATAACCCAGGCACATGCCCCGACCCGGAATTGAACCTGTGACCTTTTGGTTTATGGGTCAGTGTTCCAACCAATAGAGCCACTTGGCCAGGGCTGGAGAGAACAATCCTCATTCACCGAATCTGTCCAAAATCCTGGTGTTTCATTTGTACCTGAGTTTACAAATGAACGAGATGGAAGACAGGATGGGGTCCTTGTGAATCACTGCTCTGCTTTGGGGGCCCCGGGCCACCTTGTGAAGGGAGCCAGCTCCATGTGGCCTGGGTGCTGCCCCTGCCCTGGGAGGGAGAAGCGTGCCCCTGGGCCCCCGCTGGGGCTTGGTGTCTCCCCCACCCGAGTTTCAGGAGCCTGCCCCGCCCCCGCCCTTCAGTGAATGGGAAGCACCGAAGTCACTGGCTCCTTGGGGAGGAACTGAGGTGCCCACGAGGGCTCGCCGCCCCGGGCCATGGGGCACCCATGGTAGTGCAGAAAGCACCTCCGAATTTCCCTCCCCAGCTCCCCTCTCTCAGGCTCTGCCCTCTGCCGCCCTCCTGGCTCCTCCATGGCGCCGAGGTCTAGTCCTACACCCCCCCCAGCCTGCCTCAGCGGCTCCCGTGCCCCACCCCCTTTCCAAGTTCCTCTGAGCACCCTCGTTCTTCTTGACCCCCCTTCCCTGGATGTGGGGGGGAGGCTCACATTCTCGGCACTTTGGGCCAGTGCTGTTCAGATCCAGGAACCGGCCCAAGGAAAGGAGGCCCCCGCCTGTCCCCACGCAGTCTGTGCAGATGAGTGCTCTCAGCCCCGGGGTCCGGCTCCATGGCCGGAAGCAGGACAGCCCCCGTGGGAAAGCCAGTAGGTCCGCTCAGAGCGGTTGGGTCTGCTTGCCCGTTGAGACGGGTCGGCCGAGCAGGCAGCAGGTGTCAGGACTGCGGGGGCGGCCTCTGGGGCCTCTGCTCCAGTGCCCCCCACACCCACATCCCAGACTCTACCCAGAGAGGCGAGCTCGCCTGGCCCCCAGGTCCCCAGCCCTTGTGGCTCCGAGTTACTACCAGCTGCCTGTGTTTTCTAGAGAGAACTCAGCCTGTGCCTCCGCAGCCCGCGAAGACGGCCTCCAGTGCGACCGTGAACCTCATGGTGAACACGGAACCGCTGGCCAGCGGTGAAAGAGGTGAGTGGTGAGAACGGCGGGGCCGGGGGCAACGCTCTTTGGCCTCCCCCCGCACTCCGAGTCTTTGCAGTCCAGACTGTGGGCCGCCGGCTGGGGCCCTGACCCTCCGGCCAGGCGGGCCTCTACGGGGGGGCTCCAGACTCTCCGTGTGGCTGCGCACAGTCTCCTCCTGCGTCTTCTGGGCTGCACCTGCTGCCCCCTCTTCCTGGGCGCCGTAGCCAGGAACCCTCTCTCACCCACCACTTTTCCTCAAACTGGGACCAGCGTGGGTGGGTGTGGCCCGAGACACTGCAAAGCCTGGGGCGCCATCCACGCAGAGGTCTGGTCCAACAGCAAACCGCTCCGGAGGACCCGGGACAGCCCAGACGGGGACCCAGAGGAGGCACGGGTTTGGTGGCCCATGGCAGGCCTGTTCTAGTTCCGGTTCTCTGAGCACACCCGAGACTTGGTCTGTCACACCACGCTGTGGGCCCGAGCCAGGCGAGTGCACGGCTCATCTTTGACCAGGGACCAGTGGGACGTGTTTCTGCAGTGACCACTGCAACCCCCCGTCCAGCGGGTGTGAGCTGGGGCCACTCGCCCACGAGGAGCTAGTGTCTGCGATAGTCGACGTGCTTTGCTTAAGCGTGTTGTACAGACGACTTGTGCACTAACACCCAAGTCCGAAGCCTGTGGACGCCAAGATACATCACCGTTTTTTAGCCCCCTAGCCAAAGGTGTCCCCTGAGTGCGAGGACAGTTCATTGGTTCTGGGGGTGTTGGCCACTGGCAGGAGGGGGTGCGGCTTTCCTTAGTGTTTCTTTCTGCCCGAGGCTGGGGTGGAGGGCACCTGCTGCTGCCCGTGCGGCTTCTGTGGGTGCCGGATGCCACGCAGCTGAGCCTTCCCCACCCGGGCGCAGCGGCCACACCTTGTTTACAAGTTATCAGTGAGGCCTTCACATTTCACTCTCTCTCTGCACTGTGAGTCTCTGAGACGTTACTTTGTTTCTCCACCGCACCGGTTCTGTAGCGCCTGCACCCTGTGTCTGTGTTGAGAGAATCTTGGGTGGTGTCTGGTTCCGCACTTGGGAGGAGAGGCCCTTCTCCGTCACTAGAACATTCCGTCAGCAGGCTTCCCCCTGTCCATGTGCACGTGTGTCTGTCTGCATCCAGGAGTCCTATCCAGATCTATATTCAGGTCTGCATCTCCATCGTCCCTCACCACGGCCGCCGCCCGTGCCAACAGGTGGCCTCAGGCCCTGGGGGGGGAGAAGGCGGCCGAGCCGGGGCAGTAGCTGGGAAGCGGTTATGCACACAGGTGCGTCATGGTGCAGGGCTGAAGACCCTTCCAAATCCTGTGTTTCCGGAAACACGTTTGGGAATCGGCCTGTGGGAGATACTGCCTGTGTTTCTCAAACTCCTGGAGCCTCACTAACGGGAAGATCGACGGAAACAAGAAACTGGCCTCCCGATGCCGGTTCACCGGCCTGAGTCAGGAGTTCGTGGCGGTTTTGTGCAGTCCCTTCCCTTATACGATCCTTCGTGGGACTGTGAGGTGGAGGCGTGGGACGGAGAAGGAGCCTCAGCCCCTGTTGCTTCTGCTCAGAAGCTGTTTTCTGGGTCCCGCAGGAGCCTGGTCCCCTGCACTGGGTCCCGGACCTCCCACCCAACTCCCGGTCCCTCCCGGAGTCGCCCCCATTGGAGGCCCTATCTGTGTGTGTGAGTGGAGAGAGGCCACAAAGAAGTCACGGGAATTCCCCAAGATGTGGGTCGGGACAGACGAAATGGCAACTTTGAAGTCACCGAACCCCTGTCTGTCATTTCCCACTCGCTGGGAATGTCGCCCCCAAAGAGCACAGGGAGTGTGGCGTTTCCAGCGAAGTCGGGGCCCCAGTGAGTGGACTCGGCCGGGCGTCTTCGGCTCCTGCGTGTGGTCCGCAGCGGTGCGGGCGTGGAAACAGCCTGTAGTTAATATAAACAGCACAGTCTTTAAAAAGAAAAGGCCGGGGTTGTTTTTTTTTTTTTCTTTTCGACATAAGGAGGGGGGTTTTTTTCAATCCATTTTTCCCCCCGGCCCCCCTGCATGTGACGGAGAGCAAAGAGCTTTTGAGATCAGGGCTTGTGTGTCTTTCTCCGGGGAGTTGGTCCGGATGCACGGAAATCTGTCCTTCATTCCGGTGAGACCGTGGCCCTCCGACCCAGGACCCGAGGGTCCTGTCACTACCTCAGGCGGTGCGTTTCCCGCCCAGTGACCCAGGTCAGTGTGACGACCTGGGTCCGTGTCTGGCTGAAGCTCGGGACCCAGTGCCTGGACCCACTGGGTCACGAAAGGGCGCTCTGCCCGCAGAAGCTGAACACCGTTTGGGTGGCTGGGTCATCTTGCCTTGCCCGCCCCCTCTGACGTTCCAGGCTTTTCCCTGCAGCTGTTGGCGCGTTTGAGAGAAAGACATCATTTTCGTGAATTGTCGTCATTTTTTTCTGCCTCTGTTGGGGTGGCAGCTGCCCCGCTCCCACCAGGGAGGGTTTCTGGATGGGTCTGGGCCTCGGTCCTGTGCACCGAGGGGTCTGGTGTGTGAGGTGGCCCCGAGCTCTGGCTGTGCCGTCTCCCTGCTCGTCCCCATCAGAACTGCACCCGCTGACCCCCACTGCTGCAGGGCCACCCCACTAGCCGAGGACCGAGGCCCCTCGGTGTCAGCGCTGCGTGGCGGGGGCGGAGACGCAGGCACGTCAGCCGCCCACGTAAATGCGCGGGTTTTGTCAGAAGGTTTGCGTCCTCCAGACTCAGATAGTGGTGGACGGGAGAGCTGCCCTGTCCCAGCACCGTCTGCAGTTCTCAGAAGCTCTGTGAACAGGAGTGTTCCTGGGGTGCGGTCGGCTCCCTCTCTGTCTGCAGCGGGGCTGCCTCCGGGGTGTGCGTTTGCGCAGAAACTTCCTTCCTGGGGTGGGGAGGAAGAGTGTGGCTCTGTCTCAGAGCCGCGGTGCTGCGGCCCATTTCCCTGCTGTGGATTTCACACGCGTGTACCCACACACAGAGACACACACCCACACAGATCCCCGCACACATGCACACCCCATATACAGAAACACATATGCACACACCTGCATGCTCACACGTATACCAGCACACTCATAAAGGATTTTTTCCACTTCCACTTTTATTGTCAATCTAGTCGGCTCGTAGCGAGATGTTCAGCCTTATTTTTCAGCTGTATTCTGACAGCATTAGCTGCTGTTTGGCCGAGGAGGAGAACAGTCCCAGGCTCTAAAACTCAGCGTCTTCTCCGGGGACTTAGCAGTGAAGGGGCCAGAGAGCAGGTGGCCCAGAGCCTGGAAAGGGAGATGCGTTCACTTTACATTCAGTTTCCCGTGACGAGCCAGGGCTGACGCTGGGGTTGGGGGCACTTCACCCTGTCTCTCCTTGCTGTCCGGTTGGCGCTCCCGGAGCCCTGGGTGGCCACGGGTGGGGGTGCGGGGTCCTCACTCTTCTCCTTCGCCCTGCCAGCCCGCGACTGGCCCCTCAGCTGCCCGGGCTGGCGCGGGGGACGGCGGGCTCTAACGGGCGGGCCCGTCTCGCCCTCACAGACATATGCAAGCTGCCCAGGGAGGAGGGCACGTGCCGGAAGTTCGTGCTGAAGTGGTACTACGACGCGGAGACCGGGAGCTGCGCCCGCTTCTGGTACGGCGGCTGCGGCGGCAACGAGAACAGGTTCAGCTCCCAGGCGGACTGCGAGAGGGTCTGCGCGCCCGGTAAGCGAGGACCCTTTTGTGCTGTGGCCTTTGTCTGTAAGGTGAAAGCGACCCAGGTCAATAACTCACCTTTTTAAGATACCTGAATTACAAAGGTTACGGTAGATATGAACCACCCCCCAAAATAGGTTGTATCGTCAGGTGAGGAAGACATTCAAATAAAGCTCCTGAAAGGAATTTCCTGAATGAGTATTGTTTCCTAAAAACGTGCTTGTATCCTTGAACTTTTGACAATGAAGAAACATGGGGTGAACGCCTTCTTACTATTGAGTTATGTAAATTCCTGTTATTCACACGATATTGTTAACAAACGGGTCCTTGGGGGAAGAGGAGCAATTGTAGATAACACCAAAGATAACGAACCCTCAGTGACGTAAATAACTCTGCTCCCTCTCAGTGATGCGTGTTGCTTTGGGTCCTCTCAGTACCTCTGTTACATTGGGCAACTCGGTCGGTGATAAAACGGGCCAGCTCCCCGACAGCCCGGGCCCCTGTGGGACCTGGGCCCCTGCGGGACCGAGCGCTCAGTCTGCAGGAGGACTGGCCGGGGCGCAGGCGAGACAGGCTCAGAGTGCAGGAGTGCACCCCCTCCCCCGGTCCCCGAGGCCAAGAAGCGCTGGGGAACCTGCAAAGGTTCTGGGCTGGAAAGTGAGGGGTGGCCGGGGAGAACGGGAGGCCACGGGGTCATTTCGTGAGAAGCACGGGGTCCTTTTTGGTCAGTAACGTGCCTTCCCCTTCTCTGCCCTCTCTGCCCACCCCTCCTCGGACGCTCAGTGCTCGTCAAACCCGGCGTTGCCGCTGCCATCGGGACCTAGGGTCACTGGCCAGGGACACACACCTCTGGAAGAAGGAGTCAGCCGTCTCCACGCCGTCTTCGAAGAAGCTCTGGGTGCAGGCTCCCTGGCACCGTGCCGCTTTGATTTACACTCGAACTTGGGAGGGACCGCCTGCCGCACGACCATCCATTTGGTGCTAAGGGGTCTGTGGCCCCGCGCCCTCCGTCTCGGCAGTCAGGTCCTGTGCTGCGGACACCGTCTCCGCCAACCTTCCCGTCACCTCGCCCTCCCTCCGGGGTTCCACGCTGCGCCTGTTCCGGGCAAGCGTGGGGTCTAGAAGGGAACCCCGCCCCCGACGGCCATGCTGTCTACTCGGCCTTGCTTCCTTCCCCCTTCCCTCTCAGTTAAGCTCGACCTCAGACGGAGACCCTGCCATGGCGAATAAACGTGTGCCCCCAATATCCTGGGTCAGACGTCGAGAGAAGGCTCTTTTCCTAAAGCCCCTGACCCACGACCTTGGAGGCGAAATCTTGTAATCCCTGCGCACCGCCGCGGGACCAGCGCTTTGAGTAAAGAGTGGACAGCAAGTCATGAGAGAATATTCTTGGCATTCCTCTAATGTGTGGGTTTTTTTGTGTGGGGGTGGGGGGGGTACCTAATTTTAATTTTAAAATTTTTTAGGAAATTTATACAAAGAAACTTTAAAATAAAGTATATGGAAAGTGTCTTGGGTTTGGTGTTATTGGCCGTTGTGGTCAGGAGGACCCCCGGGCTGGGGGTGGGCCCTGGGCACTGGCTTCCTGTCTCCAGCGGAGGGGCCAGAGAGCTCCTGGAGAAGGCGCCCGCCGCGCCACGGCCACCCGGACCACGGTCCTGGCTGAGGACCCCAGCGGTCTTTCTGGTCTTGAGAACCAGCCTGCCCTTCACCCCGGCCTCCAACACCTGGCTGCGCCCCAGCGCCTTGGCCCCCCCCCCGCCTCTGTAAAGGGTTGTTTCCGGGGTTCGCTTTGCTCCCCCAGCGTGGCCAAGAGAAGACCTGCAGGGGAGACCAGGGGAGATGTGGCCCAGGGAGACCCCCCACGTCCCTTTTCTGGAGTCTCAGAGACTAAACAGAGCGTCTTCTCACTTCTCCCTGAAGCACCTCGTCTCCTGTCTTCAGAAGGAACCCAAAGCAAGCACCACGTCTTCAGGTGGCCCCTGAACTCCGCTTCCGCGGGGCCCTGGGTGCAGGCGGAAGCGTCCTGTGCGTGACGGGGAAGGACTCAGAGAGTTTAGTGGGAGGGAAGTGAGGAGGGGAGAGGGCCCAGAGCCAGTGAGGGGACGGGAGACAGCAGCCCTGCCCGCCCTGTCCGGGAGGGCTGCCGCTCAGATGGCCCCCTGCACCCGCAGGGAGGGCACCTGCCCAGGGGTGGCAGAAAAACAGGGCTTTCTGCCCCAGGCAACACGGGAGAGAGTCGGAGCACACGGACCGGTGCAGGGAGGGTGGCAGGAGTCGGGGGCGGGTCAGGACCCCACCGGGACTCCACTGTCCCTGAAGGCGGTGCGGATTTGAGTTTCTCAGCGCCTCGTGAGGACTGAGAGGCTCCGGCTGGACCTCAGGGTGGCTTCAGGGGACTCAAGCTCTGGGGGCTCCTGACAAGTTTCCATGGTTGGGGGGCCTGGGACCACCACTGTCCTCTCGGTAATGCCAACCCCTCCTTACCTTTGGAGGGCCCCCTTTTTAGCGTGTGACCAGCCCAGGGGACCCACGGAGAGCCCAGTGAGGTCATGACTTCCCTTGGAGTGGATACGCACCCTGGGTGGGAAGCCTGTGTTCTGTGACCTTCTCAGTGACAGCCCCCCAAATCTCCAGCCCTGTGAGGACAGTCCCCCTCCTCGTAAACCTGCCTTGCGCCTCCCCTCAGGCTGGGGTGTTCAGGCCAAGTTCAGCCCAGTGGAGCAAAGATGCTCGTACAGGGGCCAGGAGAGGGACGTCCCTGCCGCCCTGGGGGGGACAGGGAACTAACTGTCTGTTTCTGGCACCGACGGGCCCTGCTGCCCTCAGTCTTGTGGGGGCCCCTCCCTGTCCCTTCCCGCCTCCGGGTGGCTTCAGCTCTCAGCCACGCGACTCCAATCTTGGCTCGTCTCCTTGTATGGGGGGGGGTCAGGGGTCCGGTGACATGGGATGCAGGGCCCCCCGCCGCAGTCTGACCTTGCCTGATCTGATCACGTCTGCCGTGACCCCATTTTCGAAGAAGTTCACATCCTGAGGCCCTGGGTCAGCCCCGGGGGTGAGAACTTCAGCACATGCCTCCCCCCGGGGCCTCAGTTCTCCTCCCCCTCCCCTTCCTTAGCCAGCAGCCTAAATCTTGCCCCCGCACATGCACGGCAGGCCGGGTGGGGCCCTGGATGGGGGTGCGTCCCCCAGGACACAAAAGCCCCGGGGACGGCGGGATGGTGGGCGTCTCGCTTCCTGCCCCGCCCACAGGAGACCTATTCCCTGCATCCCATTAAAAACCTTAACTGTGTCCACGATAAAGCCAGCCGTCTGCGCCCGCGGTTCGGTGAGCCCCGGCCCTTGCGGGCCTCACACTCAGGTCGTGCTCTGTGTCCCTGAGCCCATCGGTCCCTGTGTGTGTGTGTGTGTGTGTGTGTGTGTGTGTAAGAACACTTACCGTTTCCACGGCTTTTCCCCCGGCACCTTTACACACAGAAGTGTTTCCCAGGAACCCACTGGAGACACACAAGGGCCTGCGTTAAAGATTTTCGATCTGTCGTTATTCGCAGTGACGAAAGCACTGGAGGTCGTTAAAACGGCCGACGAGAGGGGGCGCTGAGGCACATCAAGCCTCCCCGACGAACGGAAAAGGGGCGTTGCCATCACCCGCGCCGTCACGTTGGTAACCGCGGCAGCGATCACGGTGTCCCCCCACGGGGACATGCTCCAAGGCCCCCGCTGGTCGCCTGAGCCCCGTAAACACTGTTTTTTCCTCTGCGTGCACACCTGTGATGGAGTCCGATTTATAACCGGGCGCCGCGGGAGATGGACAACGGTAACGAACGGTGAAGTAGAACAGCCGCAACGACACGCGGTGAACAGTTGTGAACACGTGGCCTTTCCCTTTCTCTGTGTCTCAGCTGCTGGGCTCGCCCCTCGGGGGAAGTGAGGCGACCAGACCTGACACCCACGTGATGGGCGGAAGCGAGGCCCACGGAACCGCGCGCAGCTTCAAACTGCCTGTGTTGCTGTTTCTGGAATTTTCTGTTTTCCGTTTTTGGACCCAGGTCTTGTTGTTGTGGGAGATGATAGCAGCCGTGGGCAGGGAAGGGGGGGTGATGGTGCCCTGGTCAGCGGCCGCCATGTGTCAATGGGGTGGCCTGACCCTCCTTGTTGAGAAGAGGAGTTTGGGACACGAGGGCAGACAGTGACGGGGGCGCCAAGCCGACAGCGAGGAGAGAGCCCTGGTCGGTCAGGTGCCCAGGGCAAGGAGTGTGTCCCCAGGGAGGGGGACACAGAGGCGGGGGGTGCAGGGCCGGAGGGGACATTCGTGACCCAGCCATCGCTCGGCAGCTGGGCCAGGGGCTGATCTGCTGTTCTGTGAGTTAGAATGCGCCCCCGGCTGCGGCACTGGGGCAGAGGAGGGCTCTGGCCCTGAGGTGGTGGCAGGTGTCCAGGAGAGAGGTGACGGCAGCCAAGCCCAGGGCGCAGCGGAAGGGGTGAAGCCTGGGCTCCGGGTGCCTTTTGATCCAAAACACGCAAGGACTGATACTGTTTTGTGTCCTTTCAGTTTCCCACGTTTGTTCCGATGAAGGAACTAGAAGCGAACCCCGTTCCCTGGCCCTGACTCTTTGTTCCTCCAAGCCACGCCCGAGCGGCAGGCCTCCTGCCCCCAAAACTGTGGACCACCTCCCGAGATCATCCTTGGCTGGGCCGTGCCAGGGACTCCGCGTCCTTCCCCGACCCCGGCGCCCGCCCACTTCTTTCTGGGGAAGACTCAGAGAAACTCCAGCCGGGGTGGGGTGAGAAGCGGCTCGCCAGGACTGAACACCAGTTTCGGATTTCGGGAGTAAGACCTAGGCCTCCCCTGGGGCGAGACCCTGAGGCTTTGGGCTGCCGGAGCAGCTGGCGTGACCAGAGCTAATACCGATTGCCGTCGTCGAGAGCGGTGGTGGGTCAGGCGCCGGGTTAGGTGATTTACCCCCGTGATGCCTGGGAGTGGCCAGTTCCTGGTTTTACAGATGACGAGACAGAGGGTCAGAGTGGCCCGGCCCCTCCAGCTGTGACCTCTTGGAGGCCGTGTCCAAGCAAACCATCGTGACCCTGAGTCCTGCCAGGGCTCCCAAGGACGAGCTGGTTCCTGTGGGACCTGCAGGCCCCCAGGGGCTTCGGGACGTTCCCTGGGGGTCAGATGCGACATCGGCTACGTCCTCTCCCAGCACAAAGGGCTCCCCCCAGCGCCTTCCCTTACTCCCAGCGCCCGCAGCCCGTCTCTGCCCCCCACTCTGAGGCCAGCGACCCGTCTCTTTTTCACTGTCCGAGGAGAAGCCAACATCCCGGCTCTAGTTTCAGGCCGTGCACAGGGCGGCCTGCGGGGGGGTGCGTCATGGGGACGTCTGTTTGGACCCAGCTGTGAGCCCATTTCAGCCCCTTCGTCGTCTTCCCTGCCGGGCTCGTGATGACCGGGGCCCCCCACTGACTCTCTGCGTGAGTTCTGCAAAGTCGCAGTGAGCGTGAACGGGAGCCAGCTCCAGAAACCCCCAGGCCCCTCTCAGCCCCTCCCCCACAGAGACTCATTTTACAGGCAGTTCGGATTTCCTGCCAAGGAAATTTCCTCGCTGTCCGGTTTCCAGCTGGATCTGGCTGTCCTTTGGGAGACAGGCTCCCTGGGTTCCCCCGGGGAAGCGGGGTGGGGGCCGCTGCCCGGCGTGGAGCCGCTGGGCCCTGTCGGGGCTGCCCCGAGGGTCCGCTCCTTCTCTGCCGTCAGTTCCCTGCTCTGAGCTTCGGTGCTGCCTGTGCGCCCACCTTCCCCGGGGGCCGTGGTGCCGGTGCTGCCGGTGCTGCTGGGCGGCTCTCAGTGCCGTGGGACCCCCGCAGGTCCTCCAGAGCCGGACTGTCCCTCAGAGGCCCTGAGGCTCAGTGAGGAACCAGGTCAAGGATCCTTCCACAAGATCCCCGATTCTGTGACCCACTGGCCGGTGAAAAATCACCCAAGACTGAAACACCAGGGAAGGGGCATTTTCGATTCCAGTCTCACAGCCCAAAGGCATTGGTGACGGGAGGCAGCCCCGGGGGCCCCTTCCAGGCACTGCTCCCTCTGGAGTGAGGTTCCCCACCTTCAGTTGGACTCGGAGTCGCCTGCGCAGACCCCGGGCTGCGGCCGTGGGTGCAGCAGCCCCTCCAGTGGGAGGCCGCGGGGGCGGCCCAGTGGGTGCCACGCACGCGGATGCGCCGACGCAGCCTTTCACACACTTCCCGGAGACGGCGGAAGCAAGCGGCAAGGCACAGAAAGCTGGCGGGGCCTCCCCTCGGGAGGGAGTCCTGTTTTCTGAAGACTCACAGTGGAGTGTCTCCGTCCGGTGGGGGTCCGGTTCGAGGAGTGGGCTGGCCGCCTGTCACCCTGTCCTCACCCGGGTTCCCCCGACAGCAGGCCCCGGCTGAGCTGCCGTCGCAGGGAGTTTGTTTGGGCAGGAGCGTGGGGAGCCCAGGAGAGGGGCTGGGAAAGTGGGACAGAGAAAAGCCCAGGAA